CCTTAGCTCTCGCAAGCATGGCTGCCACCTGACGAGCTTTCGTGAAAATAGCCAATGGCGTCTGCACGGTGGCGACTCCTCTGGTTCCACGACCGAAAGCTTCGTGCTTTTCGGACATCAAGCTCTCGAAGAAGGCGCACGCGACGAACGGGCAAAAGTACCGGCGCGTGCGGCGACCTTGCGATATTTTTGCGTCCTGCTAAAAATAATTCGCACATTTTATAATACGACCGGCGAGGACTGACCGAGCCTCGCCGATCGTCGATCGTTCTCGTTGCGCGTTCTCTGCACATTTCGAGAATTTCGGGAAAGCTTCGAAAAAGCCGAGCGATACCTCGTACAACAACGTGCTTCGCGATCGTTTCTCTCTTAATTTTCCAATATAAATCCTCGATTCATATTATTTTTCTTTTTCTCGTGGAAATAAATTAGATATGAAGAAGAAAATGAATAAATAAATCTAGAAAGAATCGTTCGTACGATTTTGAAAGGAATAGGATAGAGGGTTACAGAGTCGATCGAATGAATGAATTTCGATGAGGTTAATCTCGTAATATAAAATATCGGCGAGATTGAGATGTTACGGAGAGAAGATCCGTAGTAATCGATTTAATTGACGTTTGATCGTGGTTCTTGGCGATAATTATCGGTGTTGTCGCGGGTGTCACGACACCGGCGAGTCTCGGATCGTACGATTGAATTTCCTGCGGTGCTTTTCACGAGTCCCATTTAATTGTATTGCCATTAATCTAACAGTCGTTTATTTTTAGAGCATGCTCTCATCCAGACGATTCGATATACGATATACCCACTCGGATGCAAAAGCATTAATTTAATTATTTTATTTTCGAATCCCGGTTATTTTCGACGTGGTTCTCGCCCGTCTAGATCCCCTAGACTTGTTCGCAGACTTGCTGTCATTTTCGACCAGGGAATCCACTCATCGAAGACTGATCTCTATCCTTCAACGAAATTTCATCTTACTCGAAATCGAACCGATTCGCGAAATATTAATTTATCGGTGTAACCATTTCTCATTTTTTCCATTTATTTAACCTTCCATCCAATAATTTGACTCGTTCGAAAAAATTCTTATGTCCGAGGATATCGTTTAATAATTTTCATTCGTAAATATTACATTATTTTTCGAAGAGTTCCGAGAACGGTAACAAGGCCGCGCACGAAAATTTTCTATCCAACTATTTTTAAAACATCGAAAAGATGTGGAAAAATTTTTTCTTAGCTTCTAAGGTTGTAAAGTGTTGCTACTTGTGAAAGATGCGGTAGAATGCCGGGATCCGCGCGATGTATACCGAGGCGCAGACCAAGTGGTGGCGATCATGTGAGCACCAGAACAGAATTAACACGAAGGGGGCCGATCCGGTATTTCTGGCGCGATTGTCCGGCGAAAAATAGATTCGTATGGCGGTTCGGATTAAAAGACGCCACTGGGACGATTATTCTGGCGCTGTTACGCTACCCGTGTCCTTCCGTAATTCTTTCTCTCTCGCACCTTCGTGTTTCTTCCCTCCGCTTGCTCCAGCACCGGAAATCATGCCTATATCCCATCGATTTTAACCATTTTTTCTTTTTTTTTTTTTTCCTTAACAAATGTGTCATTATTTTCAATGTAACTTTGCATCGATTTAACCTGTTCAAATAATTGTTAAATCATTGTTGCTTTCAATCACTTTTGAAGCACAATATTTCATATTCTATTTTAATATTTCTATATTTCTTTTCTTGTATCTCTATGTGGGAGTACAATAATCTTATATTTTTTATTTTATTAGTCGGATATTTTCTCTTTCTCAAATTGAATTAAATTTTAATTTACAATCAACTACGTACTCTAGTTCCAATTCCCTTTGAATTATAATATATTGTAATTTAAATTATGACGATCGTATTCGTATTTTTATTTACAAAGAAACAAAATTTATAATAGTTTTTCATTAATTTTTATGGATCAATTAATGCACCATAATTTTCACGATCAACGATATCCCTCCATCATCGAAATCCTTCGATCCGCCGTTAAATCGTCGCGTAAAATTTGATCGTCGTGCAACACCTAGCCGCTGGATAAGTTTCAAGGTTCCAAAGGTATTCGAATCCTCCGAATACCCAAGGCACTCGATATTCAAACCTTGCCCGAGAAGTGTATATTTATTCTCGCCGCTTACTTTTTACGCTTGATACTATAAATATTATCACGTTCGGATTTGCGTATGTACACTTTTTCAGTGGATTGACGTTAGGAACACACCCCTTCACGATCTTAGATTCCACAAACGTAATCGATTAGAACGGTTTGCAATAACCTCAACCTCAATGTAGGAAAACTCTCACGAGCCTTGAATTCTTTCCCAACACTTGTCACTGTAAACTATTTCATCTTCTGAGCGAGAAACAATATTAGGCCTCGTTATATTCACTCTCTTTTCCAAAAATAAAGATTTACGTTTTTCTTTTAGATATATATATATTTTTTTTTTCTTCCCGAATTAAATTATAGATAATTTAATTTGTGCTTTGATTTGAGATTCGATTTATTATCTTCTGTGTAACTCTCTTGTCTAATGATATTTTACAAATTATAGACTATAAAACCATTTCAAAGAGAAGGATACCTTTTTTAAAAAATCTAATTATGTATATAAATAAATTTAATAAAATTGCAATAGAGTATACTTTGTGGTCTTATCCTAAAATTATCTTAAATCAAATTAACACTAAAACTATCAACTTATAATATACAAGTTTAAAATTAACATTAGATATATTATAATTTCATAAAAAAAACTACTTATTATTTACAATTACAAAAACGAGAATCTGTAATCAATCAATTTGACTTTGCTCTAAAATGCTCAATTTTCTATCAATGCAAATCAATCTTTTCCCATCCATCTAATCCAATGCTTTCTCGAATCTTTAACTTTCCATTTTTCTCAATAAGAGACCGGGCTGAGGAGAAATAACTCGTTTGCTTTACAATTCAAAAAAAAAAAAAAAGAAAACGATGCTCGATGGATTTATCGACATCCACCCTCCTCGAGAACCCTTTGAATATACATACGTACATTGCGGGCAGAGCAGAATTAATTCACGTAATCACGGGATCGCGCGACATTCTGGTGTTTGTTATGCCGGCTCTCACGTGGCAATGCAAATGATTTTAAATAGGCTTGGCCGAGTGTTCGCTCGAAATAGCGACAATCAGTCGATGACACTGCTCTCTCTCTTTCTCTCGTGACGGCCAACCGATTCGACATCGGTAAATCGGCCAACTCATTCCGGTGGATCGTCATCGATCGATGACGGAGAGACGCCTCGCAAAGAGTGCCACTTTCATTCACGAGTGCTCGTCTCGTTGTGCGTCTCGTTTATTGGACTTGAATCGAAGTCGAAGTTGCACGGTGAAGTGGCAGAGTTTGATCGTCGAAGATTATTGAAGATTTATGTACAATTGTTAGATTGTGTAATAGAATTGTTTTTTTTTTGCTGGATTAAAATTTTATCATTTAATTATACGATTAATGTTTTATGCGCTATTTTTGATTTAATTTTATTTTGGTTGATGAAATAGATTTAAAGGTGGAAAAATAATTATATTTAAATAATGATGAAAGAAAAAAAATATGTTTTACTTGATTGAATTAATTGAGAGCATATTCATTGGAAAAGAGGAGGGTAAAATTACAAAATCTAATTGGAAATATTAGAAACGTTTATGGATGGTAGATTTATTTATAATTCGTGTTAATGTATTCATGAAAAAATAAATTTACAATGCAATGTAAAGATATTGAAACACGATATTAATGAAAATATATATGAAATTAACGATAAAACATTTCATTTACGATCATCTCGTTTTCTTCAAGCGTTAAAAACGCTTTTTAAACGATAAACTCACGTTGTTTTCCGTACTTTCATGGATTATCCCGTACAATTACAGGTTTAATGGTGGCTTTATCACATACGTCAAGCCCCTTCCGTTTTTTTTTCTCTTTTCTGATCGATAATGAACGTTCTGCCTATCCTGTAATTGTAGTTTTCGCTATCTTTAAAAAACGTCAAATGGAGTAATTCAATTTTACATCTTTATAATCTTCTTCGTTTTTTTTTTCTTTTTTTACTTATTTCTTGTGTCTAACGATATCTTGAATTATTCTCAGAAAATGATTTTTTTATTAATATGAACTTGATTGAATAAAAAAAGTTTAAGTATCGTCAATCAATACAAATGACCTTTACTTAATTTCCAAATATAATTATGTATGCATCAAAGGAGATACTTTCACAAGTGATCAACCCTTTTTTTAGAGATATATCTTGAGATAAATTTTCCACAAAGCATTCTTCTGGATCGTTATAATTTTCCTCCTATACTCGTTTAAATCAAACATATGATTTAATTCTGATCTTACATTCTTCCTCACTTGCACAGCTCGGATATAAGATTCGATTTACACACGCGATATTTATGAGGACTTGTGATTTCATAGTACTTAGTAATGCGTCTTTCAAAGATCGAATAACGAAGGTTAATACAGGAGGAATAGGCAATTGAGCAATTGATGACAGATAATTGATGATAAATCTAGATTTATCAGGATTGCAAGACAGAAATTTCGAAAATTAATTCTGGATAAATCTCATATTTTTCCTTATTTCCACATACAAATATAATACTTGTAATTTATTCTTTCAAAAGATGGCCAAACTATATATATATATATATGTTAATAAAGTTCGAAATCGTTGATCAGAAATCGAATTGTGAATTTAACTTACATACTTGAGATTTAATCCTTCGAACGATAAAGATGTCTTCGAAAATACAAGCGATAAAGCAAAATGATATAGTAATAACAAACGTCTCGACGATAAACGTGAAATTCCACGATAGCGAAATTCTCCCAGTATTCTTCCTCGCTCCTAGATTCGAAGGACGTGGACAGATAGATCGTTTAAACGCGTGAAAGTCGGTTTTCCCTTACGATAAGAGAGTTTGATGGGGAGCAGACGAGTACAGATAAGGCTGGCTGGCAGACACTTGGGCGTCCCGAGGAGAGACGCGAACGTAAACGCTAAAGATAGCGCAATACGCGCTGTCCCTCGCTCAAATCCGTTTCTTGGCCGATCTTTTATCAAGTTTCGCCGCGAACTTCTCGATGATGCGTAATTTTCGATAATCCAAACCGTTTTGAGCCATGCCCGCGCACGTATGCACGTTCTCCTCCTTCGATCAAGCGGGATGAGTGCCTTGAACTGTTCTCAGCTTAAGAGTGTGATAGTGTTGTAGTGTTTCTCGAGAGGGGTTTGAAATAATAACGTGGAACAAGTGGGTGGGTGGCAAGATTGATAGCCGGGGATAAGGATTATGTATTTTTCTCTGTGAAAAATATTGCGCGAGATTATTATCTATTTATAAAAATGAAAACTTGATACAGATGAATGGAAACTAGCCTAGTGTCGAGATGATTTTAAGTTCAGGAGCGACAATTTTTTTTTTTTCTCTTTTTTTTTTTCCGTTAGTTAGTGTTAATAAAATTTATCAGAGTGATGGTAAGTTCGGATGGGAAGGCATTGTAATTATTTCTTTTCTTTTCTTTTCTTTTTCTTTTTTTTCTTTTGGGTGAATGTAAAATAAAGAAAGAAGGGAAAATATATGAGAAATATGTAGAGAAATTGTAAACTGGTTATTTTATCTTTTTAGCTATAAAAAAAAAATTTGTATCGACGTTCTAATTTATTACGATATTATGATTTTAGAATGGAATAACATAGAAGTAGTTTTTCTTAAATCTTTTTCTCACATAAATCTCGTAAAAAAAAAAAAAAAAAAAAAAAANAAAAAAAAAGAAAGAAAAAGATGGAAATCTTGTTAATGCTTAATAATTTATCCCGTGAAACAATCAAGCGTCTCGAAGGAAAAGTGATATATACAGTGACAAATGTACATCTTTCAAAATTCTATAATAACTATCAATCTTACGTAAGAGACGTATCTTACGTATATTCGAATACCATTTTTTTTAAATCTTTCAATCGTATCAATATCTCTATTCTTGATATCGGTCAGATTAGATTAGATTAGATTAAGTTCTTCTTAAGTGTAACTCTGTCATTTATCATTTTATTTTATTTTATTTTTTTTTTTTTTCTCAGAGGAATAGATCGATTGGAACGAAATAACGGAATATCGGCGCAAAGCTTTATTAATATTTTTCCTAGCTTGCATCCTAGAAATTCGCATTCGTCGATAAATCAACCGGCGATTTTCCGCTCGAAAAAATAAAGAGACTCGGGCTCAGCTAGGCCAGCTTTGATTTACGATCACCATATAGGCGGCTCGAGGTGTGGCCCGACTTGCATTAGAGAATGAGTCTCTAGAAATAGTCCCGGACGCGGAATACATCCCTAGAAATATTAGGCAATGCCTTCATGGCGATTTTTATCGTGCTACGTCAGTCGTATAAAGAAATGCCCTACATTCTCGCTTTCGAAAATCCTCCGGTCCCCCTCGACTTCCCTCCTCTCCCTCTTTCCGAACGCTTCGTTGATGGATTTTCGAACGTTGGACATATGGATGTCCAACACGTGGATCACACGTGGATTCTTCTTCCGTATTTTTCGCATAGATCTTTTCAACTTTTCATATATTCTTCGATTCTGAACCGAACGAATTTCTCGTACCCTATATTTTTCCGATTTTGAACAAACGGTGTTTCGTTGTTTAAATTGTATTTTTTCAATTCTTCGAAAGAGGGATCTCCCCGTCGAAATACGTGGTTTTTCACGCGTTACAATTGTAAATTGTAACGAGGGAAAAATTCGCGGCAGAGTTGCTTGAACCGACGAATTTAGAAATTGCATGTTCGCCAGGAATTTCTTATAGCGTTTGGCAAACAGAACCGATATTCTCAACAGAATCTCGTACGATCCTTACTATTTCTGTAATATCTTTATCATTAATCCCAACGCAATTAACATCCTCATCCTAATCGCATCAATCATTGAGTGCATCCAATTCAATCCAATTCAAATTCATTCGCATCCTCCATCTATCAATTTCCACTTCTTCAACTCGTCCCCCTCCTCCAAAAAATACTTTCCACGAAACGAAGATTCTTCCTTCGTTTCGACCATCATCTTTCAACTTCCACTTTTTCAATTCGTTAAAACAAAAAAAACAAAAAAAAAAAAAGAAAAAATACTTTCCACGGAAACGGAAGCTAGATTCTTCATTCCAGTTCGACCACTATCTTTCAACTTCCACTCTTCTTCAACTCTCTTTAAAAAAAACGAAAAAAAAAATATCTATTTTCCACGCAACGAGGGCTCGATTCATTTGGACCACGATCGAAAACTGGGGCGAAAATTCTTACGAAAACTCTTACGTTTCCACCTCGTATCCATCCGTTATAAACAAATGCTCGAGACAGGGACTATCGTACTATGAGATACGCGCACGTAGCGGCGTCGGTATTTGGCAAACGGTGACAACGTCGTGGACACCACCTCCGGTTCGTCTGCGAGCCCAGGTACCCCAGACCGCTGTTTCTACCACTTCATCCCGTCTTCACCGTGTCTCTGTCCAACCTCATCCTTCCTCCCTCACCTTACTCGTCGTTATCGTCATCTACGTACACTCTTCTTCTTCTTCCTCCTCCTCCTCCTCTTTCTTCTCCTCCTCCTCCTTCTTCTTCTCCTCCTCCTCCTCCTCCTCCTCTTCCTCTCCGCCCTCCTCCACTTCTCGGGCCAGCTTCTCGCTCCCTCTTCTTCCGCTCCACGCACTCGGTCGTCTCCCATTTTCCGTCTCTCGCTTCACTCGCTTCTCTCTTCTCGCGTAAGTGAGGCACGAGGAGAGAAGGGGCAAAGACGCTTTTAGACACGGAGCGTCCACGAGCGTCGCGACGCCTTGAGAAGCAGTAGTCGCGTACCTTAGGCAGCTTCCACCTTGCCGGCTCGCGGCCGCACGTAACGTGATTCTCCTCGACGTCCGTTCCATCATCATCGTGTCGCGTTCACCCTCGAATTCTCGCTTCCTCGATCGTTCTTCGACTCGCCCCTGAGAATAATTGAACGAGTGGATCGGTTCGCTCTCGTTCGTGCGGGAGGAACTCGTTTCCATCATCATCTCCAACGCGAAGATATATATTTCGCAGAAGAATCGAAAGTTGAAACTTTGGAAACTTTGTGCGCGAGGATCATTCGAAGTAAAATTGTGGCGATGAGGAGTCTATGAGGGATTTGTGAAAGGTGGATGGTGGATCGATTTGGAGGCGAGGCGACAGCGTGTCGTTCCGCGGCATCCGTGACGATAGTCGGATGCGAAGGAGGAGGTGCAGGGAGAGAGAAAGAGAGAGAGAGAGAGAGAGTTAGCTGAATACGCGAAGTCTAAATTAATCTGGAGCCCGTTTTGTTGTTGAAGTTTTCGACGGCCCTGCTGCTAGTCGGCGTAAAAAGAGCGTAAAGTTTCGTACCGCGGAATAAAAATAATCGTACGATACCGGGAGAACCGAGAGATCCGAGATCAGCCTCTGTTCCCGCAGAATTACGCGTTCTTACCGGTCGGGAACGACCTGTAAATTTCCTCCGCTCCGATGAACAAGTGGCCGTTCTCGCGTTTTTTCCTTTTTTCTTTCCTATTTTTTTCCACATTGTAGAGGAGAACGCGCTTCTATCTGTACTTTCCTTCGAGAGAAGGAGAAGAGAGAGAGAGAGAAAGAGAGAGAAAGAGAGAGAGAGAGAGAGAGAGCATTTTCGTATTTTCCTCAACGAGCATTCCACACACACACACGTATCCTCCTCGATGTTGCTCCCTCAAGTGTAAACGGGCAGGTTGGCCAGCCTAAATTCACCCAAATTTCCGCTCGTTTCACGACACGATATATCCTCCTCCCCGAAGAAACTGCGTCACTCATCGATCAGAGGAGAGAAACTTCGCCTCAATTTTTCACCGTTCACCCGGCTCAGTTCCACCTCGGTTACCTCGAAGAGTGTGCACGCGAGAGTGTATATAGCGAGCAAGCAAGCCCGTCCATCCCATTCTCGGCCAGAAGAGAGAAGGAGAGAAGAGACTCGTTTTCGCGTCTGCCTTTCCCCCCTTTCTCCCGTGTTTTAATGTGTCCTCCCTGATCGGGGAGAGGAGAGGGGGAGGAAGGCGTTGAGAAGGCGCGAGAGTGGTCGTCCCCCTCGCGAGTGAATGTCGCGAGTGTGGCCCCATCTCTATAATGGTATAAAGTGGAGCGTTGGGAGCGAACGACGATCGACAGGTCGGTCGTTGCGGTTGATCGCGTTCAAAGGTTGAGGATAATAAAACGGCGAAAGTGGTTCGCGTGGCGAGGAAGGAAAAGGACGCGGCCATGGCGGAGCGTCCTGGGGGTAGGAGGCGTTCGAGGAGGGACAGCGTGGAGACGGGTGGCTCGTTACGGGGTACACCGCCGACCTCGAAGGAACGAAGGACGAAACGGTCGAGCAAACCGTCGAAAGAGCGATGGCTGCTCACGAGGAAGACGTGGAGGTACATGGCCGACGCTGGGAGACGCTTGATCCCGGATGGGGCGCACAACAGGCCCGAGGATATTCCAAAGATCGAGCAATACTTTCAAGAGGTGTGCCAGAAGGAGCCGAGGTTTCTGTTGTGGAGGAAAGCTTCGTATCCGGGGACGTTGGGCTTCCGTTCGCAGAGGCGGCGAAGGCAGGTGAAGGGGGGCAGTTGTCGTACGAAGGCCAGCTCGGCCGACGAGGCGGACGACGCGAGGAATCCGCCTCGAGGCTTCGTCCTTCAGACGACCACCGCGGGCAAGTTCGACCTCGCCAAAGCTAAGAGGGAGTGGTTGCTCGCGACCGAGGGGGGCAGCACGCCGTCCAGCCCCGTGGAGCGGAGGAAATTCCTGCAGGAGGACTCGGAGGTGAAAGCGTTGGCCGATATGCTGCAGAAGTACCTGAACATGCAGAGCGAGGTCGGTGGCGCGATGAGATCGATGGCGCGATCGGTGGGCGAGGGGGAGGGGAAGGAGTCGTTCGATTACCAGAACCTGATAACCAGGCTGCAGCAACATTTGGATATAATGATCGCTCAGGCGAAACTCGAGGAGCTGTCCGTCCAACGCGCCGCCACCGACAAGGAAGCGAGGGAGAAGACGCCGAGATCGACGCAATCGTATCAAGGTGACTACGTGCACAAATCGTTGATGGAGACGATCAGCCGGCACTACAGCAAGTCCGGGACTCGGGAGCACGTGATCTCGGCCATTCTCACCGATCGAAAGCTGTTGGAGAAACTGTACTTCGATCTGAGGTGTACCAGAGGATTCAGGGGGCCGCGCGCTACCGGCGCGTACACGTCGCCGTCTTCGCGCTGGTGGACGCACCAACGGCCCAGAGTCGCGTCCAAGGATTCGACGGAAGACTGGCTTTCGAAAAGGGATCCTATCTCCCCGCCGTTGATAGCCGTCCAAGAGCCGAGCACCGATCACGGCCCGGTCGAGGACGGGGTGCAAACGGATCCCGTTCCCCGCGAAGTTCTCGACGCCGTCCTCCTCGAGAGGGAGAGGGAGGAGTTGAAGGAGGCCGTGCCCGTGCACAAGTCGACCGGTCGTAGGCGGAGCAGCGTGGACAACGATGACGTCTCGCCGTCCGTCAGCGACACCATCAAGAGGTATCTTCGAATGGCGAGGAAAAAGTCGATGGACGCCGACAAGGTGGACAGATTCAAACGGGTGAACTACGACAGAAACTTGAGGAACATCAAGGCCAAAGGGGAGACGACGAAGCTCGGCGACGATGACGGGAACAACAAGGGTTGCCAGACCGAAGACAACTGGGCCGTTAATTACAGGGAGATGTCCTCTGTCGAGAATCCGTCGGAGAATCTGTCGGACGGTGACACGGCCACGTCCCCGCCGAGTAGGAACGCGAGCTCGAGGAGCAGCATCGACGCCGGCCTCGGCTCGGAAGAGCCGTTAACCCCCAAACACCATCACCACCAGTCCTTCCTTTCCCATCTCCTGCACGGTTCCAACGCGCACAAGGATAAACCGCATTCGGCACCCGGTTCGCCGGCACTCACGTCATCGTCCACCAATTCCGCAGGTGGCACAGCGATGCAGAAGAGCAAATCATCGAGCAGCGTGGTGCATCACGGTAGCCGGCTGGTGGCAAAGAAGATATGGAGGTCCAGAAGCAAGAGCACCTCGAGGGCGTCCAATCAACCCTCCGTGTGGACGCCGCAGGTGAGTTTTTCCTTTTTCTTTTTGCTTGGTGTTTTCTATTTCGCGTCGAACTTTCCTTCGATTTTCCATTTTTCCGAGTAACGAACGAGAAAAATGGTATCACGCGTGTATAAGACGAGTTTTTTCTTCTTCCGAAAGCGAAGATGAAAACGTCATTTTCGTGCAAATTGACCTGTTGATTCGTTGACCGACGAATTTCTTTTAAACTCTCAGAGAACGCGGTTAAGGAGAGAAATTAAGAAACGGATGAACCAGAACGGATAGAAGATATCTAATTATTTGGTAATACGAAACGGAATTTCTTTCCAGAACAAACAACCTTTTGTTAGACGTTTCGATGCGCTTTATTCGAGCGTTGTAAACCAAGCGCAAACGAGCCTCGCACGCTATACATAGAGTTTTGTCTTGCCAAAACATGTCTACGAATAATTTGCTTAAACCACCTGTCGCCGCATAGCGGAGAGTGTCCACCTCGTTATAAGAAAGAAAACGAATTAACGATGTCGCTATTAACATCTTCCACGAAAATAGAGCGCTACTATTAATAACAATACTCGGCTGCCTAGCTTTCTTAATAGCACTTGTAAATTAATTTTACTTGCCACCCGGTCGAACGCGATCTCTAGGCAAGTTCATTCGGATAATGCTTCAACCTCCTCGCCCATCTATCGATCTTCTTTCGGGAAGAAAGAATTCGAGAGGATGAATCTTCAAACTATTCTTCCATTTTCTTTGTCTTTCGGCTTCTAGGTAATTTCATTCCAACGTGCGAATTCTTTTTTCTCTTCGTTTTTCATTTTTTTTTTTTAGCATACAAGATAAGATAATTAGGTTCGTGATCTCCTCTATTCTTTTCATTCTTCTTTTATCTTCGTTAAAATTTTCAATTTTACGCATTGTGCAGCCATCCTTCTTTTCTTTTTAATTATTTTTTGGAATAATTAATTTCACTTTTTTCCATTTTTTAATATAAAAGTATTATATTACATTCATGCATTTTAATCTCTTTAACATCTATTTTTTTTATTTTCTTCTTTCACTTTTTTGTTTCTAATTATGCAATTTTACAGAGTACAATTATTCTTTTTCTTTACTATCTTCTTTCCACCAATTTTTCTTCCTTTCACTTTCTTTATTTCCAATTATTATAATTACTTCCTAATTTTTACACGCGGTGTAAAATTTATCTTCCTTTTTTCTATCTCTTGCACGAAACGACTTCTTCCGCTCATCACATAATTTCTCTTATTTTTCTTCCATATTTCCCAATTATCGTAACAATTCACCTTTCTTGTTATCTTTTATTTTCGACATTAAAAAAAAAGAAAAAAAGAAATGTCCAGCGACCCCTCCAACTTCCTCCGTCAACTTTCCTTCAACCTCCTTTCCCTCCTCTCCCCCCATTTCTTCATCTTCGAAACTCCCCAACGTTCCTTCCACGCCTCTCCTCGACCATCTTGGCTTCGACGGCTCGTCTATTTTTCTTTTACCGTCCGAACCCGGCCACCGTTTAATATCCCCGCGGTGTGACCGAGTATTCGGAGGATGTGAAAGAGGAAAAAGAGGAGGCGTAAGAACAAGAAGAAGAAGGTCGACCTTGCGGCAGGCGATCTCGTTAAGCGGTAAGCGCGATAACCAATTTAGGGCCTCGGAATTTCGCCGGCGCCGCCAGAAATAGTCAGCCAACGGTGGTGTGTATGAACTATACTTAACCCCTGCCACTACACCGGTACGTGTGTATGTTAAAACCACACGGGAGCCGTTTGTGTGCCGCCTCTGCTATCGCTGTTTCTATTAGGTGCTGGTGCATACGAAATGTCGTTTTCTGGAATGATACTTCTTAAACGCTCTCTGTCTTCTCTGTGTTCACGTAAGAACTGCGTTCCAATTAGTTGGATGACAGTTGTTAAATGCTGTTGTGTTTTGTTATTAGAGTGGATGTATATATATATATATATATATATATATATATATATATAGAATGAAATTTTTATGAATTTTTAGAAAAATCGTATGCTCAAACGAAATAAGTTTAGTTATATACAGTTGTAGCAATTGTTGAATGATTGTGTTTTGTTGTTAGAGTGGAGATATTTGTGCAGAATCAAATTTTTATGAATATGATTGAGAAAAATGAAAGATGATATGCATTGTATATATATATATATATATATATATATATTTTAGTAGAAGTAGGAAATATTTTAAGTTTTCATTTATTATTTTATTTATTTTTTAAAAGTATTTTACTTGTTTCTCTGTCTAAGAAAGTTTTAAAATAATTACAAAGGATTTTTAAGGAATATTCTAATTATTCAAGATGATCTACGAATCGAGTGCCAATATTTTTATTAAAATTTCTTCTTCTTCTTCTTCTTCTTTTATATTTCTCGCTTCCAATTGCTATTCGCAAGTGGATTAAAAGATATTCAAATCGTTACGTTTGTTGTATAATTTTCAACAATTTCCAAATTATTTCTTTCTCTTATTATTTTCCTTTTCCTCTTTTTTGCCTTCCTCAATTTCGTCACGTGTTTCGTTGGAAGAAGATGAAAAGTTCAAAAATAATATCGTATATAGAAGAGAAAACGACATCGCTTTTCTATTAGAAATAAACGTATTTCACGTTTCATTAAAGTTGAAACGGTTAAAGAAAAACGACGGGGTTTCGAGCGCATTTATCAACCGTGTACATTGACAGAACGTTTAGATGGTCTTTTTATAAAATCGTCCCTCTTGCATCGATACGTTTCTTCTTTTTAGTTTTGAATTATATCCAGTGAGGCTGAGAATTTATCAATATTTTGACGTCGTCGTTGCTTTGGAAAAAAGATCTTTTTATAAATTTTACTTTTATTTTTCTCTTTCCAATAGTGAATTCGATGGAGCGTTGTATAGCTTAGACGATTAGAAGGGTGAATTTAATTAGAAAATTTCTTTTGAGTTTTTATATTTCTTTTCAACCAGGAATTATTATTTTTATAATCATAATTTTTTTTTCCAAAGTCATTCACACAAAATTGTTTTATTCGTTCAAAGAAATTCTTGCTTGACACGGCTAACAGAAGATTGAATCAAATTTCCCCGCTTGCATCCTACGTTTCCATTTCTTAAAATACATTGAACAATGTTCAAAGAATTTCTCGAAGTTCGAGACAAGAGTATCAATAACGGTGTTTGTCAAAATATTATATAATTTCGATTCAACCATTTTTTTCTTTCTTTTTCTTACCTATCCTCAATGGAATAGAATATTATAAAAATATTTTTAGCTTAATCTTTAATCTTTATTTCGTAAAGAGGAGAATGATAATTTGATTTTGTTCGTTCAAGGACTTTCACTTTGATGTAAATCTGAAGGAACTTTATTTCAAGGATCAACTTTTCCTTATAAAACTTTTACTCTTACGCTTTCATCTTTCATTTACTTCTTACTTTGCTCATCAAATATTCAATATAAATAATCATAAAAATGTTTAATTTGTTAAATTAAAAAGAGATATCAAATCTACAAAAGAAATTCCAGAGATCTATTAACTAATTGAATGCAATTAAAATTCCTTTGCGTTATTCTGTCTAATTTTCTCGAAATTTATTATCAACCTGGTTTAGCATTCTGTTATTTTATATTCAATATTGATCAATTAAATATTTACAATTATAGATCGTTGATCTAAATATATGAAATATTTCGTATTCACGGTTTCATTGGCCTTTATCCTGTTATATTTTTTTTACATAAACATAGGATAAATGATATCTCATTGTTCCACGATTGATGAACAAAGTAACGATAGGATGCCTTTTGATAGATCGTCTAATGGAACGAAATTTTGGCAATGATCCTTTACGAATATGTCTCGTGTCTCACCTTTGTCTCCTTTAGCACCCATCCACCCACATGTCGCGATTTCAGCCTTCTCTGTAAACAAATTTCGCGATCCACTTGTCGACTGTTTATTACAACGTTTTTATTACAACGTCATCATGTATCTTTATCTTGAATCTTGAATTTTATATTATTGTTTCGTGTCATATAACGCATTCTGGCTGTTAATGTATCAATTATTATCATTATTGATATTTATATATATATATTTTGTCACTTATTATAAAGCACGATACTTGAAAATTTTAGCCCTTAATTTTTATCTCATGTCAAATTCAGATGTTATGAAATTAGATTTAAAAAAATATATATACTTATAATTCATTTGTAAATTACAATTGATTTGGTACTGATTATCAATACAATTTAAAAAATTCAAAAAAGCTGAGAGGCAAAACAAAGCAACTGACTTTGCCACTTCAAACAAGCTTTGCCTTAATTTTATCATCTCTCTACTTCAAGGATCTCGATATTAGAGATATTTCAAATGTAACTTATTAATATAACTCGAGTCAAAGACTCGACAATTGAACAAAAGTATCGTCTCCTTATGCGAATTCATTTCAAAAGGGAACTCTCGAATGGATTTGAAACTTCATCTTTCTATCGATATTTTCACAATTGTCGATGGTAAGAGGCATAAAGCTCCCCGAACATCAGAATCCAGGAAGCGCACGACGATAAATTACACGACTCCTGACCGTCCTTCCTGAAATCGTTAAACCGGAGAGCCGTGTGGTCATAAATTATTGGACATCGTTGTTCTCGGGCAGGAAAGCCGATCGATAATATTCGAACTTGGAATTGACGAACAGCCAATTCATTACATCAGAGGTAACGAATTTGTCCCGTTTCCGGAAGTATCCTTCGTGAAAACAGAATTGAATTCGTTGGTTGAGGGAATGCAAATTTTTTTTTTTACCATTACCATTAATTTAAATTAATCAATTTAATTAATATCAAGTGTTGCAATAATTTCGTTTTTGAATCTTTTTGCACGAGTAAGTTTAATGTTAATTTTAATTAAATAAATTTTATGAATTTGTGAATTAATCTTTTTTTATATAACGAGTTTAATAATAAAATAAATGATATTACATGCGATTTGGAAAAATTATATAAATTTATTTTAAATATTCTATTAGTCTCGTTATATTGTAATTATACAAATGAAAATTTATTTGTCGATATTGAATTATTGTAGAAGAGAATTTGATTTTTTAATGGAAAAAAGTCGATGAGGTAGAAATTGTGCATTGTGAATTTATGGAGAATCTCTGTTGAATCACTTCGTATTTTTCTCGACCATTATTTTCAATATTTTTATTCAAAATACAGAATTTTATGTTAAGAATATTTTTAATGTATATAATTTCCATAAACTTTATATATTTGTAGATTCCAAACTGTTTATTAAAAATTATAAAGAGATAAAAAATTTAATTTTTCATCAGATAATTTGCAATAAAGATAAATTTTACACAAAAAAATTTACGCAATCGGTATTTCTGTTAAAATACTATTTTTTTTCCCCGCACGTTCAATGAAATTCTGTTGCACACGCGTAATCGTTCACAGCAATGTTTCCTTTGTTCTTTCTTATTCGTCTGGTAATGAAGTAACTAAAAATAATCAAAAACACCGTTCCTATTTGTTTCTTCTTCACCGTGAAATCCATCAAAAATTTCGTTTCTTTTGATGTCATATTGTTTGATTAAAAAACATATTAATTATAACCATAATACGGTTCTTTACATCGCGCAAAATAACGTTGAAAGAAGACTATATGTATATTTGTAAAAATTTTATCTGAATCAAGTTTGATAAATTTTTTATTTCAACGTCATTGTATATATCGTATAAATTTCATTAGATAAAAACAATATGAAAATTTTTTGGAAATATCATACGTACATATATTGCAACTTTAATTAAAATTATCATTGTTCCACTCATACTGTCATTTTCATTAAATAAAAGTAATCGAAATTAATACATGGAAGGATATAATTAATAATAAATTTAGTTTGAATAAAATTTTATTCCAAAAATATTATTCCCTAAAATATAACAAATAAAAAAATTCCACGATAATATTTCATCTCGACAATATTATTCCTCAATCCTTTAACGTGATAAATAAAAAATAAACAGAATTTTCCTACAAAATTATATTTCGATAAATTCACTCATTGATCCTCGAATTTAATCGTAATTTTTGAAAGTGTGGCATGTGTATTTGATAAAAAATATAAATTCCATGTTTGTTTTTTTTCTTTTCTTTTCTTAAATCTTGTTATAACACACGAGAACATCACTTTTTTATCTTTCTCGTTGCATAATTCTGTCATTCTTCCTTTCCCACGTTCAAATTTTTATTTAATTTCATCTAGTGGCTCGTTGTCGAGTTGACAACTATCTTATGCATAATATCGTGTTCATAAGAATTGGAATGAAATAAATTGTATCACTGTTTCAAAAAAATTTATCCTTTCTTTTTCTGTATTTATTCACACGGATGATCCTCCTCCTCGTCTCTGTTGTTTGAACAATATTATTCAATAGATGGTGAATAATGTTTAACACGAGGATAGTCATCGACAATGAGACGAGTTAATCAATAACTCTAAGACAAAAGGAAAGTTTTTTTTAACAATAATCACTATTTCTTTAAAAGAGTAATATTTCTTTAAATCAACTCTTTTATCAGTTCAATATGATAAATGTAATATTTTAAATAATCAAACAATAAATAAAACAAATATATTTTCTTTTAGATAAACTTTCTCCATTGAAAAAAAATTAGTTCTAAAAAAAGTAACAGAAATAAACCTTATATATAAAAATGTACTCCCAATGTACTTTATGGGAATGTTTTTTAATACTTGATTAATTTGTTATATTCATGAAATCTAAATTCAATTAAATAAAATGAGAAATATAATTAAGCATTGGAAGCGTTAAAAGCTAATGAAACTTTAAACTTCGTATTATTAATTTCCACAGCGCTTTATACGTTAGCAATGATGATTATGCAAAATTTAAACAGCTGTTATGCAGATGATCGTAACCAGTTTATTCCACGATTAAATTTTATCGAGCGTGACGATGTTCTCCCGATCTCGTGGAAAAATATTTCACAGCGTGTAAATTTAATTGCAGGGAAAGTGTACCTGGGCGGGAACCACTGGACGACGGGTCACCCTGCAGGATACACCGTTAAGGTCGTTGTCAGAAATCGAAAGGAAAGTGTTGTGCAAGGTGGCTGTTGCAAAACTTCAGGCCCTTAATTTGGGTGTTCACATTAGGCCACCTAGCGGTAAGTTTTTCGGAGTAATTTTCAAAATTTTAGTGTTGGAACATGAAACGTGAACGATACAAATTTGAAAGTAAAGAATTTGAAAATATGAGGATTGAAAAAAATGGAAGATTTTGAAAGTTTGAAAGTTAAAAAAGATTGAAGATTCGAAAATTTGGAACTTTGAATTGTGAAAATTAAAATAATGGAAATTTAGAAATTAGAATATTTGTGGCACGAGGGAAAATAAAAAAGTTTGAACATCTTCTTTTCGTTCTTCCTCGAGAAAATTTGTATCTCAATTCGATACAGAGAGAAAAATCTTGACTGTCTTTCAGATGATTGACATATTTACGAACATAAAGTGTAACTTTAATATCAAGGAATTTTCTTTCTTAACGAATCAAGAATATTCTTTAAAATCATTAGATGCTCTCAAGGAATCTTTAACTATGGATTTCTCATACATAGTCATGAACATTCTAAAATTACCATTTCGCTTTAATAGGTTAAAAAGAATGAAATGAAATATTCATAGTTGCCACGAATCCTATTACTTAATTTGATCTTAATTTGACTGCATCGCAATTCGTATTTAAGTTAATGCTATTTTTAATTTTCTTTTATTAACAATTTAAGTTTAACCTTTTATCATAGATTAAAAAATTTATTCCCTTAAAATCTTAGAAAAAGATCTCACATCACAGATTTTATAAATCCAATAAATGATGATAATATATCACGTCTCATAATTCATAAAAGGACATATATAAAAAAAAAAACTTATTCTAATTCTAAATGTCATATATACACGTCATCCAAGAACTACTACCTTGCACGTTTCGCAATATGGTGAAGTAATTTTTTGCGGTACACACCGATGTGGTCATTGACGTTGCTCAACAATCAAGAAGAGATCGCGTTTCATCGAGCTCTCCATTTCCTCGTATTCGTTTCTTTGTTCCACTTCCGTATCCAGGAGGAAGTAAATAAACGAGACCACACAACAGGGAAGGAGCTTATAAGAATTTCTCTGATCGAGCTTATGGTTATATCAAACAATGGTTTATTAAATCCCTATCGATTTCTCAAACGACGAAGATCGTTTATTTTAAGTGATTATTTTATTAACCTGTAATAGAGAACAATTTCTTTTTTTTATCGTCGTTTCATTCCTCATTGTTTCCTTTCAGAATCATTCGGTAGCAATACCGTTGTCACGAAGCCCAAGAGAAGAGCACCTTTGCTCAAGAGGAAAGCTCTTACCACAGGCTTTTTCGACAATAAGGGAAAAGACGATAAGGAAAAGGGTAAGTGGTAGACACTGAAACCTCTTTACTTCTTCTAACGAACGTCGATTTTAATCTATAAATCGTTGGCTTTAATTCCATGCACTGCAAACTACATTAAAAGGAAATTGCTAAATTTATCTTTAAAGAGGATTCTTTATTTGAATAATCTGAATATTATAATAGTATTTTTACTTTTGATATCCATTTATATATTTTTGAAAATTTCTAAAAATTCTTAATCTCTTGATTGAAAGAGAAAATCGAAAATTGAAAGAGACAACAATATCGTATTAATTTTATAACACTTTTATGGTATACACTTTTCATTAAATATCCTTTCATATCGATTTCTCAAAGTTTTTATTATTTTATTAAAAATATTATTCTTCGAGACGTTTTTTCAACAATTTATATAAAGATTCAAAATATCGGAACTTCTGTTTCGCAGACAATTATCTTCAATGTTTCAGAAAGAAGAAAGATGATACAAAGTATCACTTTTAAAGATTTCGAAATCATAATATCGTATCATTGTAATAAGAAACAGATTTTCTTTAATCAAATTTAAATAATATTTTTCTTCCACCGTGATCAATCTTTACCATCCATTCGGATATATTCCATTGTTCGAAATGATATTCAAATTGAAATTCATTTAACTTAAATTTAATTATTTTCCGTGATCCCGTAACAGATTAAATATATATCCGAGAGATTGAACTTTCAAAGAAAGATTAATTTTTTAACTGCTCCCTTTATATTTATTTCTCGAAATACGATTTCTCTCTCTCTCTCTCTCTCTCTCTTCTGTCTCTCGTAGGAATTAGCTTGTAGATAAAATCAATAATTAAACTCGGTAAATTAAGTGCGCAGTTTAATGTGCGGAAAGCGGCACGGTTAACGATCAGAGATTTATGGGGCGTTTATTTGTTTGAAGAATAACTAGTTCAGCTATTTTCAGGTGTGATTCTGTTTTGCGAGGAGTTCGCTAGGTAGTGCTTCTATCATTTTATGTGCGTTTACGACATATCCACTATGTATATATATATATATATATATATATATATATATATGTATATGTATATATAAATATATGTATATATAAATATATACATATACATATATATGTATTTTGATCTAGCTAGCCCATGGCAAAGACAAATATTATCCTTGGGACAAATACCGGCTGTTCACCTGCAACCCTCGCTTTAAATTCCCCTCCGCTAATAATTATGCAAATAGTATATAAATTCTTTGGACGTTGGAAATATCTCATTCGTGAATTATAAAATAAATACAGTTTCTTTGTTTTTCATTACAGGAAACGAAAAGAAAAAGAAAATTTTTTTTTTTGGAACAATGGAAGAAATGTGGGATAGAAGTTAATTCGTTTATCTCTTTCGTATTGTGATTAATGTAATAGAAGTTGTATAAGTATAAATGAGAAACAGATTCATGAAAGTTTTCTTATTAAAGTAAAGTATACTTATTATTTATGAATTATACAAAACATATATCTTATAATCTTTCTTTGTTTAAAAAAAATGGAACAGGTTTGACTTTGTAATTTGTATAGATATAAATGATTTGTAAAATTATTTTTATACTTTTTACGAATAATAATTAATCTATAATAAATTGCAAGTATTATTTTAAGTATTAATATTGGGACAGATAACAAGTATAAAAAAACATCGTTACATTAAATTACATCATTAATACGAATTAATTTTGCAAATCTTTTATAAATAATTTAGTAATTGTAACTTTGGAATAGAATTTCTATTATCATATTTTTATGTAAACATTTCGCAAGTAGAACACATTAATTTAAATTTTTAATTTATAAGGCCCACTTTCTTCGTTATTTTTTTTATTTTTGTAAATGTTTTAGCTTTATTTGTTATTATTTTTTTTTTTTTTAGTAAAATCGGAAGAATGTAACAATTTTTATTCTAAATAACACATTTCACGGATATAATCTGTGCTCTTGCCTTTTATCCTCCTCCACATTAACAAATTTAACCGTGTGGGTGTTTCATTCTCATTTGCATAGACTTGTTTATCAAGCATTTCACATTGTGACAGTTTGGCCACAATTTGCACCTCGAATTTGCGCGAACCCCCGAAAAAGAGACGATGTTTGTGCAACCACGAGATAATATATTTTATCTTTTTTTTTCTTTAGAATTTTCTACTATTTCTTACAACACGTTTAAATCCCGTTAAAAAAATTTCTAAATTTTTACATTATTTCTCGAAAGAAGCAACCAAACAATTAAAAGATCCCAAACTTTAAATAAAAAAAAAATAAAATTTATTAATTCAAAAAGAAACATTTAAACAAATATAAAGATATTTTAAAAATTCCAATGCTTTCAACAAAACACGTTCTCTCAAATTCTCCGAAAAAGTCTCTCTATCTTTCCAATTATTTCCTATTTATTTATCCATCAAACTTCTTCAAACTCTCTCTCGATCTTGATGGAATACCAGCTGGAATATTAGCAATGTGTCCATGTGTATGCAACAGGGCACAGCAACAATATCTTTCCAATTATTTTCTATTTATTTATCCATCAAACTTCTTCAAACTCTCTCTCAATCTTGATGGAGAACCAGCTAGAATATTAACAACAATATCTTTCCAATTATTTCCTATTTATTTATCCATCAAACTTCTTCAAACTCTCTCAATTTTGGTGGAGAGCCAGCTGGAATATTAGCAACGTGTCCATGTGTACGCAACAGGGCACAGCAACAGTATCTTTCCAATTATTTCCTATTTATTTATCCATCAAACTTCTTTAAACTCTCTCAATTTTGGTGGAGAGCCAGCTGGAATATTAGCAACGTGTCCATGTGTACGTAACGGGGCACAGCAACAGCATCGGGCAGCCTGGTATGAGACACAATTTCGCCGGTTATAATTAGCCACGGGGTGGTTGGTGGCGGTGCATATTTCCGCATATACCAGGTTTATTTGCGGTGCGCGCTGGGTGTACGAGTACCGGTGCTGGGGACACCGGACGTCAAACGTGAAACGGAATGGTCCATCGACGGGACTTATCCACCTTTGACGATCTTTCGCCCCATTCGCGAACACGTGCCGTTTCAGTGTCGTCATGTTTGAAGTTTCACGATATTTTTGGGATCTGTTTGCTTGGAAACTTGGTACTTTGTCTATTGGATCTATTTCGTTTGTGGCGGGTTTGTGTTACATCGATCTCGCGATTCGAACACAAATTTGAATACAAGTGGTGGGTGGAATAATGATTGATTTTCGTGCTTCGAGAAGTTTGGAAGCATTTGAAAATTTGGGGAAATTAAGGAATTCGATATTGAGAAATTAAAATTAAAAAAAATTTGGAAACTTTGTGAGATCGACAAGTGTTCAAAAATTAAAAAAATTAAGAAGATTATTAAAATTAGAAAATTGAAATATTTGGAGAATTTGTATGGATAAATTGAAAGATGAGACGATGAGTTTGATCAATTTTTTGTTACATGAACGTAGAAAAGAAGAAAGTGGATTGTATCGGTGTAACGCTGTCACATGATGGAAAATTTTGACTGAAATTATATTTCCTTTATTCGAATATTTTGGCAGAAGCTATATCCACAATAAACAAACGTCTCTAACGCATTATCAACAATAGAAATAGTAATAAATACGCTCAATCGCGTCACCACGTTTCTATGAACGTTTACTTTCACGTAACAATGTTTAATCATCAAAGAGTACTCTGGAAAATTCGATGCTACGATTTCCTGTACTGTGTGTAAACATTTGCCAGATCTGTCTTTGCCAATAAAATTATCTTCAATCGTTCCCCTCCTTCGTTCGTTTGTGAAATTATAAAAATCGTTCCTCGTCCATCATTAAAATTCAAAATAGAATTACGAAATAATTAAAATTAATTTCAAAAGGAACGAAAATAGTTTAAACGTTACAACGATCAATAGAGAATTTCAAATTTCAATTGAAAATCGAGTGACAAATTAAAATACAAAAAATACAATGTCGTAAAATTGATCGTGAAGAATCAACCAGATTTCGTCCAAGTGAAAATGAAATGAAACGAAAATGAAAGGGGACGAAGAGGAAACAGGAAGGAGAAAGGAAGGAAGAGAAAGAGGGGGGACAGTGTTGCGAATGATTTTGAGACTTCCAGGAAAGATACTCCTCCCCTGAGTCCATTGTCGTCACCTGGTTCTGCTATGAAAGAGAGAGAGAAAGAGAGAGAGAGAGGAAGAGGGAGAAGAAGAGAAAGAGAGAAAGGGAGAGAGAGCTGGTTTGGAGAGGCTGGGATGGCCCAGATTGTGGTCTATAATCGGACCGGTATAGAGACAAGGTTTGTTGCCTTTCAGTTGGCTTACGCGTTCTTCGAGGGGAGGAAAGAGAAGAGAGAGAAGGCAAAATTCTGACATATTTGATCATATGATACGTCATTTAAATGACATCCTCTTTTACAGCGGTGTCACATTCGAAACACGTGACCCATTCACGCGTGTATTCAGGGGTGAATGCATTTTCATTTTTTCTTCTTCTTCTTTTTTTCTTTTTTTGATTTTCATAGAGAAGAAATTTTAAATTAAAAACTAAAATGGATGCATTATTGTCACATTTTTTTTTCTCCCTCTCTTATTATTATAGAAGGGAAATTTTTTTATTATAGGAATTTTAATTGAAAATCAAAGTGTTGGTTAAAATTAAAGTGGATGCATTTTGATTGTAATGGAAGAGAAACTATTATCAAGAATTTTAATTGAAAGATTAAGCTTATGGTTATATAAATTTTCATTTTCTTTTCCTCTTCCCTCTTTATATCTTCGTGATAATCTTTAAGTTGAAAACAATTTTAAACTTCATTTCTTTTATTTCTTTCGCCTTCTGAATACTTTCGTCCTCGAAGTATCGTATCCATTTCGAAGCAATAATCCCAGGAACAGGAAGACGTAAGCCGATTGTTATTCGCGCGTGGACTTGGCAAGCGGTGACTAGCAATTAAGAAGTAATAAGATGAAATTCGAAAGGTGGCACGACGCGTTTCCGCGAACTTAGCCGAACAACCAGGCGGTTTAGTACCAAAAATAAAGTGGTCGAAGCATTCATGGCCAGCCGAAATATTATCAAACGTCCACGTCGCCGATTTTAAAGTAAAACCGTCGACAAACCGAGGCATTCAAGCATTTTTTTTTTCACCTTCTAATGTGGATTTTATGCCCAACAAAGCTGTCTTTTAAACGGTGCAAAAATATTTCTCTCAATTATTTATTATCCATTTCCACGATCTTCTTACACTACTCCAATAATTTACAATATGAACTGATAAAATTAAAAAAACAAAAATGAATTATTCATTTCAAAATTATTCCTTCGTTTTGTAAAAGAGAATTTATATACTCCATGGCTTGTAACTATAATTTTAATTGTACAAGAGATCCTAAATATACTGAAACACGTATCAAAATGTCTTTCCCAGACTCTCGTATTATTCGTGACAAATAATTTTTACGCGTGTAAATTTAAAATCGTTCAAAAAACTCCTATTTACCCCCGCAAGCAAACGTTAAAACACAATTTCCTATAAATTGCACAAACAGTTTACGCGCGTGTAAATAAGCGGTGTTTACGCGCTTTGGGACGCAGCTGACCACTCGTAGATCAGACAAGATCTTCTTTTTGGCGATCGAAACGATCCCGAGATTAAACGAATCTCACGTTGAAATATTTATTAAAAAAAGAACAACAAATTTAATTCCCCCTTAATAATCATCGATCGTAATCTCTTTCATCTTCAAAGTTTAACGCATCTATTAACACAGTTATACATCATAAACGTCGTTCAACGATAATTCTCTCTGTTCCATTCATATATTTGATTTCACACCAATCGAATCGAATTATTCTCGATTGACGAAATGATCCATCTTTGTTTCAGATTCGCCCGGTGGCCTGGTATTTGGCATACCGCTGTCACAGTGTTTGGAGAACGATAGGATCGCTAGAATCGCCGCTGGTGAGGTCTCGGATGTTGGCTGCTTGTCGAGGAGCAGCAGACACGGCAGCAGAACGAGTTTCACGAGCCTGATCGAACCGACAGTCGCTGCTAAGACGGACGAGGTAAGTATTGGAATTTATTCCAACGTTCCCTTACCTTTTGTTTTTGATTTGAATCAACCTTCTTTTCTAATATTTGCAAAATTTGAAAAATTTAATACACAGTTTGAGATAAAAGAATTGTTGGGTGTTATCTCTCTGATGTTTCTTTTATAGGATATAAAAAATGAAGTTACGTTAAAACAAATAAATATTAAAAATTACAAGTAGTAGATTAATTAGACAAAGACAAAGAATAATGATAATTTCTTCTACATAACTCGATACAAATTTTGAGTTATTAGCATAACAATCTTCTTCCTTTTCTCTTCTCTAATATTTCTGTACGATATACCGTGAATTCCTCGAGTAGTGTAACTCCGTATGTAGTCGGCCAACCGCATCAGACGCACAAATTGATCGATAAATATCGATCCTGTTCCTCGAAAATGCGCTCCGTCCAAACCAAATACCAAGATATTTCATATATAATAAAATTAAGAAGTAGAAATCATTGAGCATATTATTGCGAAAAGGAAACGAATCACGTGGTAGATATATTACACTATAATCGCGAGACCGGTAACAATGTGGCGTTTATTTTGGCAGCTAGAGACCATCGTCTCGCAGAAGTCAGAATTGCACACGTGCGACTAGAAGTAGATTTCTCGAGGGTTTACAATTTTGCACGCTTTCTTCGAGGAGGCAAGAACACGATGAAGAAGCATCAGACAAACTCGAGTCGCAACGTAAAAAAAAAAGGATTAATTTTTAATTTTATTCGCCTTTTTTTTTTTTAATCAATTGAACAGGTTAATAGGTTGTGTGATTCGATCGTGAGACTAGAAAAAGAAAATCACGTTTGTAAAAAAGCTTCATTGATATGAATATGCAAATCTATAAAATGAGAAGGAAATTGCAAATGTAAATTCGGCTGATGCATGTAGAAAGACGATAAAGGTAAAAAATACTATTATTATGTAAAAATTACCTTTATATTTTCAAACTCATAAATTCAATCGATATAATCAAATCGATAAAAATGATAAAATCTAAAATTCAAAAATAGATTTACTCCTTTCTTTCTTTTTTGCATTTTTTAAATTTTCATTTTTATTATCGTTATATAAAAGTGTTTAATTAGAATATCAATTAACCCGTAATGTAGAAAGTTTGTTGGTCATCCAGTAGAATTACTGAAAGGGATTCTCAGACATAAATAGAAATACAAACGAACATATTAAAATAACTCTTTGATAAACAGCTTGATGTAACGTTGCAACCAAACGATATATATAAAAGAGCTTTGAATCTACCTCCCTTTATTCAACATACTCTATATTTATTGCACCCCTATTTTATAACCATTCTCAGTCCATCCTTTCACATTCCATAACTATACTTCTTTCTACGTTTCAAATTTTCAATAATCAAAATACCAAGCTTAGAGAAATCCATCGCTTCCTGCATTATAAATTTCCAATAATTCAATTTTTCCGATATTTTCCAAAATATTTCTACCCTCGACGATAAGCTCATCCTTTCTCCATTCTTCAAAACTTTCAATTCAAACTTCCCAACTCGTAGACATCTCAATACGTGACAAATGTGACGTATACATCCATCGATTGCGTCACGTGATCGTTGCACGACGTGTCTCATCGAAACAATCCGAGGTCAAGGGAGGAGGAACTCGTGTTGGAACGGAGGAGAAAAGAAGGAAGAAAAAAAGGAAGAAAGGAAGGAAGAAAGGAAGAAAGGAAGGAAGAAAGGAAGAAAGGAAGGAAGAAAGGAAGGAAAGGTTGGAAGGAGGCGTCGCGTGACGGATGCGTTGGACAAGATCGTAAACGGCGTCATCGATTGCGTCAGTGTCGGATTGCGACGAGGGCGTTTATCGATGGCCACTTTGCGAGTAAGGGGCGAGACGCAAAGTGGTTTATTTTTTGACGGACGACGTCAGACGAACGACGCCGGCAATTCATCCTATATATCCATATATCCCACCGTGCACGATCCCTTGCCAAAATCTTCTCTTACCGGAGATTCAAATTAACAGTTTCTCGCAATTAAATTTATCGCCAATGGGCGACGCCACTTTTCCAAGTTTTCGATCGATCGAGATTGGACGAGATTTCATCCCATTGGAAAGAAAGATTGGATTTGGAAAGAAGGTAGAGAGATTGGTTGAAATGGTTTTCAAGAATGTGCCAAGACGTGTTCACGAGGGATGAATTTTTAAAGGAATAATAGGGTGATTATGTTTTTTTTTCTGGTTTTGGAATGATGGTTTGGTTAGTCGTGAAATTTGGAGTGAGATTAGTTAAAATGAATGTGTAATTTTAGGAACATATGCAGAGAAATGTTTGTTTAATTCTATCAATAGAATAATGCGGATTTCTATGTAATTTGTAGATAATTTAAATATAGAAAAATGTGGGAAAAAGGCGCAAAATATTCAAAGGAAAGGGTAATATACATGTATTCAAAGAACGAAACGAAAGATTTCTATTTAAATTTCATTTCTTCACAAATATTTGTCTTTCATGGGATTTTTTGAAATTTAAAAGCTTTGGAATAACCTCCCCTCTTCGTATCCAATCGAGAAACAATTAAATTAATTTTTCTGAAATAAAAAGAAAAGAAATTTCCTTTTATTCCATCATTATTACTTTCGAGACACCCTGTACATTTTGAGTTACGTGGCGTCACGAAGAGTTAATACAATATCGATAATGGGATTCTAAAATTTTCTTGACGTTCATCTATTTCATCTTCTCAAATCTATTTTTCTTTTTCTTTTTTCTTTTTTTTTTTTTTTTTTTTGAAAAATCTATCCTCGCGACCGGAAGTAAATGTTTTGATTTAAGAAGCACCGGCGCCACCTGGCCGATGAGCACGAATCCTCTTTTTTTTTTTTTTTTTTTTTTTCCTCTCTTACGTTTTCCATCCAAAAAGTCAGACATTCACGATGTGTTATTTTAAGAAAAGATCGAAGATTCGACCCGCGCCTCTTGATTTACGCGATCAGATTTAATTTCCAACCGTTTACGTTTCTGCATATTGATTTTTCGGTTTATGGCGGGATGATTTGTTCACGTTTGAAAATTTATTTCAGCCAGGCGCACTTTTTGTTCCAGCGTCGAGCATTTCTCTCTGCTACGATCGATCTTTCCATCTATTTTATTGATTTTATTGATTTCGCGTAATTTTATCAGTCTATATATTATACTAGTTACAAATTGGTATTATTTCAAATAACGAATCCTTGTCAATAAATTTCTATCAAATATAATTATGATTGGAAAAAAAAATTGTGCATGGTACACGAGATATAAAAAATAGTGTAAAAATAAAAAAAATACAAAAATTAGATCAATTTTTGTCATGCTAAAATTTAAAAATATTCTAAACTATCCAAAATAGTACAGAAAATTTATAAAATATGCATCATCTTTCTTATTCAAAATATATTTAATCTAAGATTTTAAAGTATTCGAGAAAATATAAAATTTTTATAATCAATTTTCCTTCACTCCTTCCCAAAAATCTATACAAAATTATAAATTTCCTACAATTAGAATAAAGAAATGGGATTTCAAATATCGTTGAAAAATGAATAAACATTATGTATATATATAAATAAATCAATAGAGAAGAAAAAGTAGTGCAGCATGCGTGACGTGATAAAATTTTCTATCTTAGATTTAAAAATCTAAAATAGAATAGTGACGATAAACGATTGCAACGAATAAATTAATAACCAGGATAATAAATCGAAAGCGAAATCGTACGAACTTCCCCTTCGTCCGTTTTCTTCGCTCTTACATGAATGTATACAAAGTGGTTCGATTTATTTCTCCCGCGAGAAAGTTGGAATTCTCTGTTCGGGATGTAAATAATTGAGGGGTCCCCCTTACGAGGCTCGTGACGCAGTGTGTGGGCGGGATTTTTCCAGAGTGGAAGAGAAATTCCACCGGTTACGAGTCAGAAACTAAATCCACCATCTACGAGACTTCCTTTTTCTACGAAGTTGCGATAATACGTTTCGTACATTCCCGTGGATCTATTGATCCAGGACAGTTTGCTCTATAGGGGAGATTGATCGTGTGCATTTTCCAACGAGAGAGGAAGCTAAACATTTTAGAATATAAAAGATGATTTCATTCGGAATTAATCGAGAGAACGTGTTCTTCTGTCTACGTGCAAGTTAATTTTAGGGAATTTTTGCAATTAATTTTAGACGGTTATTTTTTGAACGGGAGGATGGATTTAGAGAGACGTTTTCAAACTGTGAAATTTCTGTGAAATGTTTTTCTGGAAATAGATGAATCGATACGAGAAATAGAAAGACTCGATTCAGACACATTTGTGAAAATAGCGTTGATTTATTGTGGCGCCTACGACGACGAAAGCATCCTCCACTTCTGCTACTCAATCGAGTACATATACGATCTATATACGATGTTAAGAGAACGATGAGTCGATGTTTTGTTGACGTGCATCGTTTAAAAAATTCGAACGTATACTATTGATCTCTTACCAATTATTCGTCCCTATTTTGCATATTGTTATTTATAGTAATTTTATATGAATTAATTATTTATTTATACCTGTTCCTCTTTTTAACTCCGTTTCGTTGAATTTTAAAAAGAAAACTACTAAATCGTTCGAATCATGATATGATACAATTATTCGAGTTCTCGTCAAAGAATCATTAAAATCAAAAAAAATACGTTTATTATTATTATTATAACGTTTTAGGAAGAAAAAATTGTAACAAGAAATTATGGAAACGAACATTATCCAAGAAATACAGGAATAATATTGATCACTAATATAATATATAGTCAACAATGAAATCGACAAATGAGCCAGACAATTTAGCTAATCGATGAGATCGATAATTCGATTCGATCTTTGATTTCGCATCGAATCATCGAAACGCGTGGCGCGACAACGATTGAAAATGTGTTTAAATAGAAAGGCCGATCGATCGATCCAAAGTGGATTATTACGACGTATCGTTGCATTTCCTTCGTCGACGTCACGTATATACCGAGCTCGTGTCGACGTCACGGATTAGGGACACGAATAGAACCGAGATCAGAGAGCGTTAATTTTAGATCCGGATTAATTAAGATCCCTAAATTTTGCAAGATTTTCTGTCAGACCGGATGGAGGAGACACGCAAAGCCGTCCATTAAAAACGCTAGACGCGCATCAGACGTATTGGATTGGCTCGGTTCTTTGTGCAATTTCGGTCGAATCGAGATTATTCAACCCTTTTAGGATTCATTTTACAAATGGTGGCTTTGATTAAGATGGATTGCAAATATTCGCGGATATGAAATTTAAAAATTTTGGATCTATACTTTCAATATTGAATAATTGAACAAAAACTATATAAGAAAATTTGGCCCCTTTTAAAATGAATTTTATTTAACGTGAAATTAATTACTTTTACCTTTAAAAAGTTTTCAAATTCAAAGTTTTGTATCGTTTTAACCTATATTCTTTTTTTATCTANAATTTTGGATCTATACTTTCAATATTGAATAATTGAACAAAAACTATATAAGAAAATTTGGCCCCTTTTAAAATGAATTTTATTTAACGTGAAATTAATTATTTTTACCTTTAAAAAATTTTCAAATTCAAAGTTTTGTATCGTTTTAACATATATTCTTTTTTTATCTATTTTATTCCAATCTTAAAATTCTATTATCAAAATCAAAAATTGAATAATATCCAAAATTTAATTTATCAATGCATATAAGAGTCAAAATATTTTATACTTTATACCATAAATTATTATTCGCGATTACATTTGACTTAATCCAATAAATTTTACAAACATTATAGCTAAAGCTCGAGCTGAAACACAGGAAGCAGCTTTCCGATCTCTAATCGTTATGCGTAATCGCATTTACAACATGTATTTCCGTTCTACGTCACAACACGTGTTTTCGATGCACAACAACTATAGGCTCAAAAATAATCCATAACCGTCAAGCTGTAAATTTCACCTACGTAATTTTCAGAAGAAAAATTTCACGAAAAAAAAAAAAAATAAAAATCTGCGATAAATAAGGAAAGACAGGAATAAATATTTCCCTCGAATAAATCAATCTACGATAATTTCATTCTACGAATCGATTCCTCGTAACATCCATAACCGAATCTATTTTCTCTTTCTTTTTTTTTTTCACCTTCTTGCAAGCAGAAAAAATATTCCTTGAACTCATTTTCGTCGTTGGATATCGTAACAATCACGATTGAGAGAGGGATAAAATTATTTTTCAGGGTGGCTCGTCCGAGTCTCTGTCGTCGAAAGGTGGAGCTTTAACCGGAAGCGACTCTGGGGTGCTCGAGCTGAGCGACAGCGGTGGAGGAGGCCCTCCAGGGGAATGGGACGCGGTTCCAGGAATAGTCAGACAATGCATCAGGCACCTGGAAAACACCGGCCTCCGGACACTGGGCGTTTTCCGGGTGTCGCCTTCGAAGAAGAGGGTCAGACAGGTGGTTGTTTTGCAATGTTTTAACCCATTAAGGATTATTCAAAATCTGGTTTCTTTGGCACGATTTCGTTGTTCTTTAATCTCTTCGATATATAGGAAAGGAATTTTTTAAAGCTCGATTTTGAACTTTCGGAATTGATTGAAATTAGATCAAACTTTTTCGTTTTTTTTTTTTTTAACATTGTGAATGTAAATTTTGAAGTTGTTATTTTTTTATTTTTCGTCATTGTTCGTCGTGAAATTTAAAGTAAAATCACGCTTGATTTACTCTTTCAGTTGAGAGAAGATTTCGACTGTGGTCGCGAGACAAAAATCGGACCCGATCAATGTCCGCACGATGTGGCAGCCCTTCTAAAGGAGTTTTTTCGTGATCTTCCCGACCCTCTGCTGTGCAGGGATCTCTATCAAGCTTTCGTCCATACGCAAAGTAAGGGCAAGCAAAAAATTACGATCAAAGGATATAAGCCGCTCAAGTTAAGCAGTTTATTGCAGTATTTAAGCTTGATTAATGTATCGATCGTTATATCCACGACCATTAAAATAAAAATTCATGATTGCGCGAACGTGTAAGTAAATCCAATTAAACGAAATTGATAATTTGTTATTAATATTATTAATTAATCGAGAAATTCGAGAAATTAGAAATATTTTTGTAGATAGAAGCCAAATTTGAACTCTAATAAATAGAACTCTATCTCAATTTTTTAATACGAGAAATAATTCCCAATAAAAGAAAAATAAAATATTCTTTCGATTAAATTTTTACAGTTAGTTATTAGAAATTAATTGCTTACCTTATAATAAACTCACGTTCTTCATTTGCTTGAAAAACCAATATATCCATGTATATTCTTCAGTAATTGTTTAAACATTTTCTCGAACTTTCGAGATAAGACAAGAATATATTCTTAATTCTTCTGCCAAATCAATTGCTGCAAATTAAATACCATATCTACATAACTTCAAATAAATGTTCTGAAATTTTCAAATACAAAATTATAACAAATCATCAAAAAAAAAAAGTATTTACAGAGATGAAGTGGTCAAAAGAGCGTTTCGCACATTCCATCCTTTCACCCTTCTCCGATACAATTTTATCTTCCTCGACGTTCAATCAGTTATCTCGCATTGAAAGTGATCTTCCCAACAGAGATCCGGAACAGGAGACTTCAGCAAGAGGCACTTCAGCATCTCGTCCAACTGCTGCCAACGCCGAACCGCGAGACTCTTTGGGCACTTTTGAACTTCCTCAACGTGGTGGCGGCGAACAGCGAAGATCAAAAGAACGAGAGGGGTGAATGGGTGGCGGGGAACAAGATGGACACGACCAATTTGGCCACGGTGAGTGGATTCGAAACAGTTGAGTCGAAATTCTCTGGATAGTTTGAAAGGAACAGCTTTGTGAGATTTTTGGAAATTTTTCTCGAAAGTGATTCATACTTGGATTCCATATTTTTTTCAGATAGGTTTTATTGCTATTCAATCTGTTTTTATTATTATTGTTGTTATGGAGATATTGTTATAGGAAACAATTTTCAGGATTTTCGTGAAGGAAACGTATAATATAATTCGGTTTCAATTAAATCAAGATCAATTGTTCGAAAAAATTTAATTTCCTAATTTTCTTTTCAAAGTCGAATTCACGAATTGATTTGTTCAATTTTTTTGGAAGGTGTTCGCCCCAAACATCCTCCACTGCGTGAAGCCAGGGCAAAGGTCTGAGGTGTCCGCGGAGAGGGCAGAAGAAAGGATAGACGTAATAAACGTGGTCAGGGCCCTTTTGGAACATGCCACCACGTTATTCACAGTGCCAGCAGCTCTTTTAGACGAGGTCTACTTGCACATGATGGACACCCATCCGGCCGATTTGGATCTCGCCCTTTCTCGACGTGTCGAAGAGTGGGTATCTGAAACGGAATGGCGTTTCTCTATCTTTAATCTTCTATCCCAGAGAGATACCCTTCTCCTCCAAATCTTAAGAAGAATCTTTGGTGACAACGCTTAATTTTGTCCAGATACTTTAGAGTTTCCAACGAGAACCACCAAGTTCTTTTTAACCTTTTTTCAAAATTCCACGAATCTGTCAAAAAACTGCGAAACTCGTTCACGATGTATCTCTTGTTGCATATTAATTTTCCAAGTATATTTCTCGCAATGTCGCCAAGTGAATTCGAGAAGAATCATGAGAAAGAAAATTTACCATTCTTCGTCTTTCCGCCGATCCTCTCTCAAAGATTTTTAATCCGATCGAGAGAGCCCGTGGCAAAAAGCCAACTCAAGAGTATATCAGATGGATGGAAAAAGATGACGGCGTGGATTTCGTTTGGATTTTTCACAGACAATGCGGTGACGAGGCGGATCCATGCAGCGAGGCTGAAAACTTCTCGGTCGAGGAGACGACGCTTACGACGTCGACAACGACCACGGCCGGAACCACCACCTCGACCAGAAAGGTAACCAGATCGAACGAGATTATCCCTCCACCGTTTCTCTGTATCGCTCTGACGTATTCAACGTTTTCGAGATCGAGGAAAGATATGGCTCGACTTCAAACTTAGGGATAAACTTCTTACCCTGTATCCGCCTCTTTCTCTTATTTTATTTCCCCAAGTTGAAAAGACGAAAATGAATCGAATTTAAACATTCGCGTTTCTGTATATTTTAGTAGCAAAGTTTTATTTTTCTAATCAAGTCGTTTAATTTGTTATTGCGTTAATTGAAAGAGTCTCGTTCTTCGGCAAGTTCGATGCCAGATCTTGATCTTCTCAATTTGATCGAATGAAATTTGAAATTTTCAGTAATGAAATCAGTATAAAAATAAGTTCATTCTGCGAAATTAATTCGATCGAAGCTACGAGTGTTTGGACCAGAAATGGATCCACGACTCAGCCAATGATCTTCAATGAAACTGGGTCAATTTCGATCGTTAAAGGTATGGACCAGGGAGCAGTGTCTTCATCAGACGGCAGGCGTGGGCGGCGATATAGGTCCAAGGCCGAGGCGGCCAAAGAGGCCTGGAAGCCGACGAAAGGAGGAGGGAAGGAGCAATAGCGTGGATAGCGGGTCGAGCGAGGATCCAGCTGATCCACGAAGAAGATCCTCGCCTATGGTGATCACCGCCAGCCTCACCATACCCATGTCCGGAGCGTTCACATTGAACCTCGACGATCCGGACATACCTTACATCGAGGAGACTCCGAAGCAGCCTAGCGCGCCTCCGAGGAGGCAGAGGCAACGATCGATTTCCGGTTGCAGCGAAGGTATCGCCCCCTTTTTGCTCTATTATCCTTTCCAATACACTTTCAATTTCTGAAATTCACTTTTCCAAATTCCTTTGATTTGCAACGAAGGTATCATTTTCTTTTTGCTTTATCATTTAAAATATCACTTCTCAATACACTTTCTGAAATATACTTTTCCAAACTCTTTCTATTTCTCGAGGTAATTTCGATTTGCAGCGAAGGTATTGTGTCCTTTTTGTTCTATCATTTAAAATATCACTTCTCAATACACTTTCTGAAATATACTTTTCCAAACTCTTTCTATTTTTCGAGGTAATTTCGATTTTCAGCGAAGGTATCGCCTCCTTTTTGCTCTATTATTTAAAATATCATTTCTCAATACACCTTCTGAAATATATTTTTCAGAAAAAAATAAACCCTTTCGATTTCTCGAGGCAACTTCGATTTGCAGCGAAGGTATCGTTTTCTTTTTGTTTTATCATTTAAAATATCACTTCACAATACATTTTCTGAAACATATTTTTCCAAACCTTCTCGATTTCTCGAGGCAACTTAGATTTGCAGCGAAGATATCGCCTCCTTTTTGCTCTATCATTTAAGATACTATTTCTCAATACACTTTCTGAAATATACTTTTCCAAACCCTCTCGATTTCTCGAGGCAACTTAGATTTGCAGCGAAGATATCGCCTCCTTTTTGCTCTATCATTTAAGATACTATTTCTCAATACATTTTCTGAAATATATTTTTCCAAACCCTCTCGATTTCTCGAGGCAACTTCGATTTGCAGCGAAGGTATCGCCCCTTTGCTTTTTGAAATACATTTTTCCAAACTCCCTCGATTTCCCGTTCTTCCAAGAATAAAATAAAAAAAGTGGAGAACAACGTATTCAATGAAGATCGATTGGAGCAGGTGGAAGGCACGGAAGCGACAGCGCCGTGGGCTCTTCCGCCACGTTGTCGGGCGACCAGGTGCCGAGTTCTCCACCCTCGTGGGCGTCGTCGCCACCGGCGAGCCCCGACAGCGCGGTGACCGCCGTCTCCTACATCCCCGACCAACAGGCCGTTCTCCAAAGGGTGTCGTTCACAACGTCGAGCGAGGTGCGCCAGGTGACCAGGTCGAGCAGCAGCCAGGACGCGTCGAGGAGCGCCGCGGCCCCGTACACGCCGAGCATCACCAGCATCGGCGGTGCGGTTTTGAGGTGAGGGAATCCTGATTATTCCTACGGGCGGCTATGCGGCCTTCCGTGCGCCACTGGCAGGAATTGGCCACGGATGATCTTGATCCGTGCCACCGTTCTGGTATTCGAGCGAAACATCTGGGACAGTTCGTTCACCCTCCCTCGTGAATCTAGTACAACGTACCGTGGTGCATTCACCTTGATATCTCGAGATTCGATTGCTCGTTGCTAGGTTACTCGCGCTTTTCTCCACGATTCCGTTACTGTTTCATTGTTGTTCACTCGCTCGTTACTTTTTTTCTGCGCTAACTATTCCGTTTATTTCATTTTGTTACTCTCACACTTTTACATTTTCTGTGCTTTTCTTTTTTTGGACACTTTACGCTCGATTAAATCGGTGCGTTGTTGACCGTTTTTCATTATCATAAAAGTTGGATAATGGATAATTTGTTATTAATATCGATGAGAAATGCGATTCAAATTAATTCATCCTTTCATCGTAGGAAAATAGTCTCTTCTTTCGAAAAGAAAAAAAGAAGAAGGAAAAGAAAGGATCGATTAGAAGCATCGCGCCTTTTTTCAGGTCCAAGACCGCCGATATCGAGAGGATGTTGCAGATTTCCAGACCGGATACCGGGATCAGCCTGTCGCAGCAGGCCAAGACCACCTCCACGACCTCCTCGGAGAGCAAGAAATACACGAAGAGGCGTTACACGGATTCCAGACACCAAACTCGTCACATCCCCGATTCCGACACGTTGGCGGGGAAAAACACTGTCTCGGTTTCGTCCTCGTCCTCCGTGGCCATTTCCTCCACGTCCTCGGCTGCAGGCGGGCAAAACCAACGAGGTGGGGCAGCGCAACCGGTCTGGAAACGGCGGGAACTCATCTCCAGCGCGCCCAAGGACAGGGAAGGCTACTTCTGAACATCCCCGTCGAATCGAATTTCCGTGGATCGCCTCTTTTCCAGAAGACCAATGCTTTTTCTCCGGAACACAATTTTTTGACGTATCGATTTTTTGACGATGTTTGAAAAGAATCGAAAGAGAATATAAAACATCCCTACATTGGCCGATTATTCGAAGAAAATTTGATAAGGATAGGTAAAAATTGAAACAAGTATCGAAATATGAACTATAAAAGACGAATATAATGGGATCGAGTGAATCGATGAGCATTCAATGAAACGCTGTTCGATGTAACACACTTTGAATATATTCTTTCGATCGAATTTCGAAAATTTCGCGCGTTGCTCGAACGTAAGACCATTTCAAACGTGCCTTCAATTATTAGGATTCTTCTAAAACGTTATTAAACAACTGATCCTCGAGCAACGTACGAGAGAACAGATCTCTTTCTATTTGAGAGATGTCAGAGAATCAGAATTTATCAATAATCCACGAATCGTTCCACGAAGGGAAATAGAATTCAAAGAGGTCCAAACCAGGGATACGATTCGATAGGCCAAGAAAAAAAAAAAAAAGGAAGAAAAAAAAAGTGTAAAAAAAACAATATAGTCACTGCCGATCAGGCGTGGCCTGGCAAAAGTGTTCCTCGACGCGTTCCTCGTTTCGAAAACCGAGTGAACCGTTTCGTATTCGACGTGTATTCGTGGGGTGTCTATTGGTTCCTAGACTACCGTCCTCGCGCTCTTAAAGATCTCCGTGACGAAACGCACGAAACCCTCTTCGAAAGTCTCTGTCTGTCTCAATCTTTCTCTTATCGTTTCATCCATCTCCACTCGTTCGCTCGAATCGAGATCGAGATCGTTCGAAAGGGGGGGGATTAATCTTTCTACGATGCGGTTACTTTGTACAAAAAGGAAAAAAAGAAAGAAAAAAAAGAGAAGAAAAGAAAAAAAGAAAAAGGGAAAAGTGAAACAAATCGATCTTGTACGAATCTACGAACGTAACATTCTAATGTAGCAGCGACACCGTTAGTGGCGATTTGTAAATTATTTTTATTACTCTAGATCCGAGGGATTCCCTTCTCTCTCTCTCTCTCTCTCTCTCTCTCTCTCTCTCTCTCACTCTCTCTCTTCCAACGTTTGTCGATAAACTCGCGAAAAAAAAAACAGGTTTGAAACGGACGAATCCTCGACGAGCCAAAGTTACGAAACGAGACCAGTCTCGGCCATTCTATCTCTCTCAGCTCAGTTGAGATCATTCATTTCCGTTCAAATGAAACGAATAACGCGTCTCGTTTTATCCGTATCCTCTTTCTCGAGACGTGGATTTCGTAGATTATTATTATTTTTGTACAGTTACAGGTATCTAATTGAACCGGGTAGCTCGTGATCAAGAAAGAAACGACAAAAGGATCAGAACATTTCAGAACAACCAACGAATCTTTTCTTTCTCTCTCTCTTTCTCTCTCTCTCTCCCTCTCTTCTTCTCGTATCTTCTCCCCTATTCGATACTCCTTTCTTCTATTTCGACGACTCTCCCTTCTCCCCTTCCCTTCCCTTCCGATCGTTCGTGCACGAGAAGATGCGTTGAAAGAATCCGTGTACTGCCGTGAGGGACGCGTGGCCCGAAAGACGCTGTTGTTCGTGTCGTTTTAAGTTTTCATTTTCAGTCTGTAAGCTAATAAATGAAACGTTAATTTTTTTACCACCCCGTGTCACGCTTTATTCCCCTCTTCCTCTCATCTGTTAAGGAATAAAACATTTGTATTTTTTCTTTTTTTTTTTTTCACGGTAAATGAAGCGAATGATTGTTATTCGGGATCGAGGTGTCGCAAATGATGGGGGATGGAATTTTTGTATCCATCGTGGAATAGTGGAATACGTTCGTTGCGAATACGAGCAAGTGAGAAAGAGGGCTTGCAGGTGATCGTGAATCATAAAAATTCCTTTATTATCGATTTCCTCGCATATACAGTCCTCGCACGATTCAACGTCGTACTGGTCGTTACAAAATTCATCGAGACACGCACAATATTCGCGATGCATCGATCTCGATAGCAAAATGTGCAAAAAAGTGGAAATACGAATTTTCCTTTTTTTTTTCCTTTTTTTTCTTTTTTTTTTTTTTTTTTTAAATATAAGATTACATTTGCACGCGTAAAAATCTATATGAATTTGAAATCGATCTCACTTCAACTGTCGTTTCTTAAAGGAAAAAGACAGAGTTCGAGTCACGCAAGCGCTTTTCTTTTTCGAAATCCAGAAAAGAATTATTTTTTTTCCTTTTTTTCTCCTATAAAATTTTTTAATTTTATATTTTTTCGATTTTTTTTTTGTTTTGCTTTTTTGTAAATTTTCTAACAATTTTTTTTATTAAACAATAAAATAATAACTTTTCTCAACGTGTAGAACATGTTGAACACATTAAGGATCTTGAACACGTAAGGATTATTTTTAACAGAAGAAATTTTCTTACGAATTAATTGAAATTATTAAATAAGACTTAGAGAATTGGTGATGCAATATCAATTTTGTGCAAAATGAATATCACTAAGAATTATGAATACAATTTTTTTTTTTTTTAAATAAATCTTTAATACAGAATTTCTTTTCGATCTTTTGGATATCGAAGTAATTCTTGCGTAGATCTTAAGAAAAAGATACTCAGCTCGTGTGATTCGTTTCGGCAAAAGTTTTTATTAACGATAAAAACGCGGATGATTACTTTTTTAATTATCCACAAAAAAATATAAATCTCACGAATTTAAAAAAAAATATCAGTTTAACCAATGGAACGGATAAATTTCTATAATTTACTATTAAATATAATTCAAACCGACGAAATATTAATGTTCTAATTAAAAAAAAGAATAAATCTTAAAAGAAAAAAAAAAAAAAAAAACAAAAATCTTTCGTTAAAAATAAAATCGACCAAAAATCAGGAAATGATTGAAAAAAAAAATTGATTTCGATCTTCAATTCGAATTAAATAAATAAAGTATCAACAACTATGCGCACAAAGTCCTAATAAAAAAAAAAAAAGAAAAATAAAAAAAGAAGAAGAAGGTAATTAAAAGAAAGGGACGAAGTGAAGAAAATCATCAGTATTCGATATAAATCCTCGAATAAAAATTATAAATAACTTCGAAACTATCGACGAAAAAAAGAAGCATAAAAAGAGAAAAAAAAAAAACTTCCTTGAAGAAAGGAATAGTGTCACGACACCAACAGCAACAGTAATAAAAAATAATATTAATAATTATATACTTTCTAACGAGTAAAACGCTTGTTCTCTCTTTCTCTCTTTTTTTTTTTTTCACTCTCTCTCTCGAGACAAATGACACGAGCGAAACAAAATCTCAATTATATCATCTCGAGTGTCGCGCGCGCGCAAATAATAAAAACATATACATATTTATAAATTTATATAAACTTCTTTCTCATATTTATATATATATATATATATATTAAAACAATCGCTAAAAAATATAAATATATTTATATATTTATATTTATATATATAACTCTCACCGTTTGACGGTTAGCTGCCTATGCAGGGCTGGACGGATGCGACGCAGTAAATATTTTATTTATACTTCGTTCCTCGAACGAGGAAACGTCGAGTTAAACCTACTATGCGACGAACAAGGAGTGTACAGGGATATAGAGAAAAGGTTAGATTGAAAAAACTAGAGCGAAGGAGAAAAAAAGAAAAAAAAAATATGGAGGAAATGAAAGAGAAGGGAAGGGAAACTAGAAAAATGTATCACGTATCCTGCGACTTCGTTGACGTGGAACGATGTTATTATTGGAATGCAGATTTCCTCTTTCCTTTTTCTTCTTCTTCTTCTTCTTCTTTTTTCTTTTCTTTTGAATTTAGCAAATAGAGAAATCTGTTTGTTAATTTCTTGACAATGCAACAATGTAGAGGAATGTGTGCGTGACATCTAAATTCGAGGTGGCCATCTTGAATTTTATTTTATTGTCACGACGAAATAAATTCAATAAGTATCTCTCTTGGATCCAAAAATAAATAAAAAAATAAATATATTTTAAATATAAGGATTTTAGGAAATCGCACCTCGAATTTGATGAGATAAAAATTAATTTCATTAAGTATTCCATATATCTGCTATATATTATATATATATATATATATAAATACTTTGCAATAACTCCAATTAAATAATTTACACCTTTTAATGATCAAAGATAAAGAATACTTAGCGAAATTACACGATCAGGAGTCAGGTATCGATTGATTCGTGCATTCCAATAATAATATCGGTCACATCAGTTCGCGAATTTAATTCTATATAATATTTTCAATCAAACGATGCCAGATTTACGGCATCGAGTTTCGATCTCACGCGAAAAAAAAAAAAACGATAGTTAACAATCGGCTTTAATTTCTCTCCTTTCGACCATCCATAATACCCATAGTAACACGCCGTTCCAACCGTGACGTAAAATCAATAATCGAACGACGATAATAACAGGATTGTTGCTATCTTCTCTTTTCGTTTTTTCCTTTCCCTCCCACCTTCTTAAATCATACACGATTTAACGCAACTGGATTTAATTAACCGTTCCATTCCCTAAACGTTTCACCATGTGGCGGGAAATTCGTTTACCAAATAATCGTTATCTTGGATATCGATTATAGGTGGATGCCACTTAACTCTCGCATCGTCGTCGTGATCGTCATTTAGCAACACGCCAATCTTGATTAAACAATTACACGTTGCCAGAACAATCGATACGGTTTATCGTCCGATCAAATTCTATTAACCATTTGCGGTCTAAACGTGTACGTACGACGCGTTGCGTGGGATGGCATAGTGATCCGACGATATATTTATTGGACGAGCGAAAGCTCGTAGAAGATTATTAGAAAATCGAATAGAAATTGAGAATCTTGCTGTTCGATTAAGATATTTGATTCATAGATATATGTATAATAGTAACAAAATAAATTTGTAACGGATGAGCATTTCTCTCGTGTAGAAACAGAACATTTAAAAAAATGTTTAAAAAAAGAAATCTCAAAAATATAAAAAGATAAAGGAACAGAGTAATACGTTTACCTGATAATATTTAATTATAATATTGATTTAAAGAAAAGTTACCTCGTAATCGATACGGTTCTCGAAACAAGCCGGACAGCTTATTGCGTGAAGCAACCAGACCGCAAAGGGTTAATTTCTTCTTGTTCACGGCTGGAACCGCTGGGAACTTAAATTGTAATCTCACCGAACACCTCACGATTGACCGAACATCTCGATCGATCGAGCTCTAAATCGGTATTCCTCTTCTCCTGGCGTGGACATCTTTTTAATCACATCTTTCAATCTAATACCGATCTCAAAAAAAAAAAAAAAAAAAGAAAAGAAAAGAAAAAAAGAATAAAAACATCATCGATAATTTAATTATTTGCTTATGAATTTAAACGTTTCACGATATTTATGAAAAAAATAAAAAAAAAAAGGAATGGACGAACTGTGGAACGTGAGGAAACATTCGAATTCGAATTTCTGTGAATGAATGATATCTTTTTAAGCAGAGATCTATCTGTAACTTTCACGGCCCCGTCAAATCGATATTGTCACACCGACTATAAATATCGTTTCAGAACAGTTTAGACAGTTTGAGAGAAGGTTGCAACATTCTCGAAGAGACGTCAAGACGTCATTGGAAATTATAACCGGAGCAATTTCCCCGCTCGATCATTTCCAACCAAGTTTATTTCCTACGTCCTCACGCTCGTCCTTTCATCACGCGATAAAACTATCGGCCCTTTCAGTCCCAACTTTTTAACTTTTGACAGAATTCTTTCGATTAAAAGGTGTCCCTCTCTCTCTCTCTCTCTCTCTCTCTCTCTCTCTCTCTCTCTCTCTCTCTCAGCCGGAAGTTCTCCAATAATCGAACGAATCGAGCGATTATCCGAGATTTCCGTGATCGAAGATTAATATCGAGAACATTGCGTTCGTTCTTTGTATCGAATCGTTTATTCGATCGAGAATCATCTATGAACGTAACGTTTGTAAAATTAAATAATTCTAAAATTAATTCCTATTTAAAATCTATCGTTAAAATGTACAAAATAATAATAAGAACTTACACACACAACATTTGCATCCACCTTAAATGATGAGCCATGAAAAGTTTCTTCGAATAACATTTTAAACTTATACTGAAAACTTATATTTTAATTATAGAGGGTGAGGGAGAAATTGAAACTTCGTTCAAAATGTTCCTGAAAGGCCCGATATAAGTTGATTATACGAAATTCGCTTCTATAAGTATCGCGATTCTTTTTCTTTTTTCTTTTTTCTTTTTTTTTTTTGCAAAGGTACCTGAAAGCTAGTAGAAAAGTTCGTGGAATAATCAGTCCACAGTTCGTGCACACTTCACGCGCTTCGCTTCTTAGGAATGCTTCTTCCGACCAAGTCGACGTCGAGTCGACTCGCGTGAAAAAAAAAAAAAAAAAAAAAAAAAAGAAAAAATCATCGAGGCTCTTCCATCCTCGCTGATACGCGTTAAACCTCGGTTGAGTGGGTCTGAATTCGCACTTTCTTTTGCGAACCATTTCTCGAGAGAGTGGGGCTGTGGGCCGAGAAACCGGGATTGTGAATACCGAGCGGTTTTGGCTTCTTGAGGGAGCTACGAAGTGGCGATGCTGTGCTCGTGACGCTTCCGGAAGTCGCCACAGACGCCATCGAGCCGTTTCCGGCTCCGCCGACGTAAGGCTTGCCACTGGCGTCTGTCATCGAGATGGTGCCACCTGAAATTCAAACACATTTTTTCTTTGTGTAATGTTCCTTCTTTTATTTATTATTTAATTTAACGTTGGAATGTAATTCGTGCTCGTGAAGTTTATTAATTGTTGATCGAGGGAATAATCGTGGGATAAATAAATAATTTAAATAATCGTTTTTTGGAATATTTGGTTTAACTATAATTATTGAAAATTAGTTAATTAGAAAATAATAAATTTTTCTGCTGTTTAAGAATCTTCGTCAATCGCATTTTATTTTTCGAAAAATAAAACAAATTCCTTTGTGAAAGAATTTTATTTGATAAAAAGATAGGAATATCATTTGTAAAAGAATAATAAAATTGTTTGTTAATAATTTCACAAAGCATTTGGCTAGAACAGCGTCCACTAATCCTGGAATTTCTCATTAAGGTAATACCTCGAGGAGATAATTTTTTAAATGTGAACAGAAATGTGTACATTGTAACGCAAATTATCACTATCATGGAGTTTTTCGTTTTACGAATTAATTATAACTCTTTCATATTTTTCCCAATCTTTCAATGAATTGAAAGGTTTTTGTAAAATATTTTTTATGCCGATTTTTTTATGGAGAACACAGACTCGAATCCACGAAAAATTAGACATTGCACGCTTTGCAATTTGATGAACACGCGTGTCACGTTGCGCGTATGCATCCACGTACGCGTCAGAAATATTTAAACGCACCTGCACTTTTGCTACGTGGAAATTCGTCGAGACGTTTTAATTCACCGTCAAACACGATCGAGCACGGTGGACACGCTAGATGGATTTTCATTCTATGTGTCATCTGAAAGTTATTCGGAGTTATTCAGGAAGAAATCCTTAAAATCTTTTCAAATTCCTTCGTTTCTCTTTTTAAATTTGTCTGGAGATTTTTATATTTTCTTTCGAGATTATTTTGCTACTTTACGCGTCTCTTTATTTATTTTTTATTTACATTATTTGAAAGAAGAGATGTAAAGTTCAATTTAAATGCATATATTTATTTGACAACATGCATTATGAATATTCGAGTATCTTTTTACGATGATACTTTTTCACTCGTATATTTAATATGTATATTTTTATATACTTCAAACAATTTTAAACATTATTCTTTTTTCTCATTTTTCTCAACACTTTAATTTTTCTTTTATATTCGTTAAATAAAATATTTTTAATGCATTCAAAATTTGTTGTTCAACAATTCGCTCTAATTTAACGTAAGTTTTATACGAACTATTTTACCTACTATTAATCTTTTTAAAAAGAAGCATTATGCATTTAAAGATTATTATTTGGATAAATTATTTACTCTTGCTCGAATGTTCGAAAATCAATTTATTTCTTCCCCCTGTTGAACTTTCTATCCAACTTCTGGCCAAATATTTCCTCTGTGTTATTTGCCTCTTCCTGTTTATACGTTTCTTCTTCAACAGTTATTCTCTCTTATATATTTTCTTCTTGTACGTTTTTCTTTAACAGTTGTTTTCTCCTCCCCCTAATAGTTTCCTCTCCCTACGATTTAACTCGATGTTTCGTACGCTTTTATTCTTGTTCTTTCCAAGTTTCCCGTTAAATCTTCCTACTCTATTATCCTTTATTTCTCTAGTCTCCCACGTACCATCCTATTTAGATCTCCCCCCTTCACCTTGACTCCCATCACGTTTCACATCTGAAGACATTTCTCGGCCATATTAAGTTTCCATCAGCTGTTGGGCGAAGGTTCTTCGAGCAGTAAAGATTTCTATCTCAAACAAAAGAATGAGTTTAAGAGAGATCTCGATTAAAGCATACATCTCGACACGTCAGCATTTATTTCGAGTAGAAATATTTTTATTATTTTATTTATTTTATTTTATATTTTTGGAGTATTGAAATTGGAATATTTCTTTCCTTAGAAGGTTCCCTCCCTTTCTTAGAACAATAATAATAATCTCTTTGCTTTTATCTTGAGTGTGTTCTGGCTCGAATCAAGCAAATACTTCGGAAAAACGTTAAATACGATGCAAATATTATGATACAATCTAATTATATAACATCTCAATTAATATAATTCGATATGATGTGAAAACATGCCAATCAACGTGTTCAATAAATATTTTCATATTATGATTTACGAAACGATATCTCTTAAATTTATCTGAAATATATTCATTTATAAAGAGAGAGATGTATATATAAGAACTCTACTACTGCTTCATCATGCATAATTGTAACCTTGAAAGTAACCAGTTTAAAATGGTGCTTCGATTCGAAACATGTACTAGTAACTAAATGGATATATTTCCATGTTAATCACATAAGTGACATTTCAATGAAGAAAAAACTTTCCTTTTTTCGTCGAGAGTCGAGAGCTTTCTCTTTTGTTCCATAGAAATGTGACAGTGCAATGAATTTATAAACATTGCACGTAAAAACGATTGGAAAAATAATAATTTCAATTTTCCAAAAAATTTCAACAAATGGAATATAAAAAAAGTTTAGATCAAAGAATAAACAGTTTCATGTCTGCACAAGTTAATTACACCAAAAAAAAAAAAAAAGACTATAATTTATAACACGAGAGCATCGTTTATTTCTGAAAAAAAAAATTTTTTTGGTCATGCGTGAGATGAATGCTAATTTCATGACGCAAAATTCAAATGAAGTTTGAAAATACATATTATGATATAAAAGAATAAATATGGATATACGATCTATGAAAGCCACTTAATGACGCGGTATTTATTAGTTCAGTATTGTGTAGTTAAATTACTGGCACCACTTAATTAATTACATTCTTCGTGGTACAATGCAAAAATTAAATAATTACATGCGGTATTATACTTTATAGACAAACAAATTAATCGGTTAATACACGAAACTTTATCTAAAAATTTTTTAATTCTTTTTAATGATTTAACGTAGAAAAGTAGAAAAATATGAAACGTGAAATGCAATATCGAAATGTTTTCCTTGCAAAATTCTAAAATAAAATATTTTTAAATTATTTATTTATCCCAATTCTTGCTAAACAAACGAGCAAGGAGATTAATAAAATTCTTCACGTACTATCGCGACAAAGAGAATACCGAAATTCGATCGATTTAATTTTGGAATGCTATACACGTATTCCACTGCATTTTGCAATACTTTGTCCTTTGCCACGAAGTGTTACTATTGCTTCTCACGAAATTTTCCTACGATTGTGACAGAGGTCTTATAAATACGCTGGTACCCTTGAAATGCAAATGAACACAAAGAGAAGAAACCCTTTTAAAAGAAAACCTACACCTTGGAAAATTTTAATATTTTAATTTCTAAGTAATAAATAGATTTTTATAATCTTATTCATCGTGTTCTTTTTCAATCTACTTAACGTTTGAAATATTACATATAAATTGTAAAACATTTGAGATGAAAAATACTTCGCAGATACTACTTTTTTGGATTAAATTTTTGAACACAAGAATTGAATGGAAAATTAATTAAGAGGTTAACTCGAGTGAATAAATAATATGTATCACGTGTCTAAATTTACCATTCGTGGGTTGATGTTCCCGATACCCAGGATTATTTATGGTTCCCGCACGTGGATCACCGACAACCCTAATCTTCGTTGGATCACCACCTCGTCGAGCATAAATACCCTCGTACACTGCAGTGATCAGCACACCAAAGTTCAAAGCGATGGCAGCCAACTGTAACAACAAGTTTCAAATCGTATCGTTAATAGAAGTTTCAAAATTGGTCGTTTATATTCGGTGAGTTTGTTGGAAAAGTTGTTTTTTAATTTTAAAAGTTTAAATTTTGTTCTAAATAAAAAAATAAAAGAATCGATGAGAGAGTAAAGATATAAAGGAGGATAAAGGAGTATGGGTTATTTTTTTGGTCAAAAAGATAAAATAGAATAATAAAATTAATATTCGAGGGAAATGGAAATGGAATATTTCTTCAATGAATAAATTATACAATTTTTAACATTTTTTGTTTAATGATTTGTTTCTTTATTATATTAACAAAATTAAGAAGAAACTTTCGATAGAGAATAAAAAAAAAATAAAATAATAAATACATGTTGTGTAACAATTAATAATTATCATTTCTAAAGTTCGCTTAATGAAAAATTAATTATGTATGTTAATATTTAATCAAGCGGTATCATTATCGTGAATAATTTCTGTACAATTAACGATTTTTCATCGAAAGAATAATTATAATTAGTCGTAATAATGTTCACGCTGAATTTTATTAAATTTCCTTTAAAAAAAAAAGACATCCTTTCCTCCTTCAAAATAAATTTTTGATAAGATGATTCTCTTAAAAAAAAATTATAATAATTTTTCTTTTTTGCACTTTTTTGTACGTGAATTACCATACGTAAAAATTAACCATTATTATAAAGATTATTAAAAATAGCAAAAATTGCAATTAAGCAGAGAAGGATCAACTCCATTTCCATATCATTAATTAAATTAATTATCAGAGGTCAGATATAACAACTCGGGCGTAAGTTCCTCCACGCAATGGATGTCACCTTTCCCATTGTTTTTGAAATTCAACATTAAAACATTTATACAAAGCATTTTTCATTGTTCCTCCTCCATTGTTAAATAGCCCGTTTCCACGGAACTAGACGACTTTGTTGTCTTTTCTTGCGAAACACGATCCTCGATCGACGAACGAGGAAAGGATGGAGGAGCGAGAAGAACACGCGAGGAAAGACACGTCAAAAAGGTCGAAGACGAAGAGGAATTTAATTAAGACAAAAAAACATCGAGAAGCCATTGTTTCGACGCAATAATTAATTCATCGTTGTTTTTTTTTTTCTTTTGCAACATCTTAACCACCTCAATCCACGAGAGAAAGAGAGAGAGAAAGAGAGAAGAAGAAGAAAGGAAACAGGAAAACCAAATGAACAGGTTGGGTGACAATTTGATTAATATAAGTATTTCCTCCATGCGTTATAATTAAGGAGAATCGAATGAGAAAAGCTTTTGAGAGCAGCGTGGTTAAATGTTGCATGCAAGAAAAAAATGAGGAATGGCGGAAGGGATTTATTAAATACGAGGCATTCATAAGATTTTCTATTTTACAGAATCACTGCTGCACAAATGTCGTGCTATGATGAGATTTTATTTATTATTTTGCGTAAATTACGAATATTCGAAGTGGATTTATTTTTTTGGTGATAATTTTTTATATATGTATTGATGTATAAATAAATGTATAATTATTTATCGAGAGAAAGCATTAAATTTTTGAAGATTTTATTCTTGATATTATTTTTATGCTTAAATTCTATAACATCAAGCGAAGTAATTAATTGTTGATTAATTTTTATGTAGATTTGCGAAAAGTATATACAATTAATTTAGATATAAAAGTGATTTTGAATATTCTTTAATCGAATAAAGAATTGTATAATGAATTGCAGGTAAAAATTCCACTTATTTAACGAGTTAAATCGAGGAAGAAGAAAAAGAAATGTAATTAAAGAAAACAAATTACGCAGTTTTTTGCGAAAATGGGTTTACGTTGTAAAAAAAAGTTTAAACGATTATTTTTCTTCTTCTTTTTTTTTTTTTTTTTGCATATTCTGTAGCATTTCCTCTAAGATAAGGAAACTCGAAAGGAAAGTCCATTTATCTCTTTGCATTCCGATTGCAATTGCTTCGCAATTGTTCGTCTTCTTTTTGAATCCACTTTAAAGTGTTAATAGCAATTATTATTGACAAAAGGAAAAGTACAAAGAAATAAAATTTCATTTTTTTCGCTCCAATCTTCGCTATAAGATATTTAAATACTAATTTCATTTAAATTTGTTTTTTTTTCCTTCGTTTATTAAAAATCATATAATATAGAAAATATACAAATTTTATATGACAAGAATTATTTAAAAAATTATGATTGCATTTCATCAAGAATTTATCCCATTATTTTACAGTATAAAAAAAATCACATTATTTAATTAAATCAAATAACATCTATAAATATCAGTTAATCTAATTTTTCTATTGATGTCACGATAAGAAATAAGTCTTATATCCCATAAGAAAAATATACATCACATCCTTTTCATCTCAAAGTATGACAATTGTCAAATATACACGAAAAAACACAAGCGTACGAAAATCCCCCATGACTCAACACTCTTATAAATCGCTATCGAGATTTTACCTTGCCCTGCTTCTGTTTGTTCATTTTATCCAGCTCGATCTCGTCCTTGGCCTCCCGTAGAAGGCTCCGCCTCTTCTTTTCCATCATCTTGGATTCCGCGTTATGGTATATCCGTGGGCCAATTGTCACGTAACACGGATAAAGATGTATTTCACAAAATCTCCATATACCATTTTATATCCATGAATATACCGATTTCACATTCTTCCATATTTTTAACTCTCGATTAAACTCTTTCCTTCTTCCATCAATTCAACTCAAGTGTTTCTTAGTCTTTAGTCGTAATTTTGTAATTCCTCTTTTGAATGAATTTTAATAAATTCAACGTGAAACTCTTATTTTAATTTTTCTTGAAGCGAATTGATCGATTTTATACGGATTAAAGATAAATTTTAAGAGTCTCTCGATCATTGAATTTTGTAATCGATAGATATGTCGCGTCTCGTTGGTCGCATAGTCCAACTTTCTCTATGGAAACACAACGATTCTTACGAAACGTTCATTAAATTGTTTTCACAGACTGTCACGATGAGGCTTCTGCTCGTCCAGGAAGAATAAAGATCCAATCCATTCGAATCTCACTTTTCCAAACAATTATCACTAATAAAATTCCAATGCCAATTAACAATTCACCTCACACACTCGCTAAACATGTTCACCAAATGTTCCATTACATAGACTATCCCATTTTAATTCATTTGAAACGAAGCCACCAACGATGAAAAAGGAAAGAAAAAAAAAAAAAAATAATAAAAAATCGATCGATTAATCAAATTACGTATAAATTAGAATATCATTTGGCACGTAGATCATTAGTAGTACACGATTGATTAATTTCAAAATAATCTCTAATCGATTAATTGTAGAAATGATAATGGAAAAAAGAAGAAACGAGGACAGAAATGAATCGCGTGTAAAAGTGGTATGGTAAAAAGTCAAGAACGGGGACACGTTGCTAGCAAACGATCCACGCCAAAACGTTCACTGAGGGTCCGCCAATGTCGTCTCATTGTTTTTAAAGTGTCCAACAGTCGTGGGTGCTCTGACACATACTAACTAAGTCCCTAAGGGGGGCTTAACGAGACACCTGCGAGCTGTTCCTGATCAGGTGGCCTTTAAGTATTTAATTCCTCGATCGTACGCCTATATTATACCATTATATTTACACTACTACGTGTATCGTAGTTAAAGTTATATACGGAAGAACGATACCGCGTTTTGAGATCGATTCGATCCGATCGATCGATCAATGGAAAATCTATGGAAGTCGATAATTGGATTTGAGAAAAATTATTGAATGGACAGTTGAATACACGATTTGGTGCGCTATAAATGCAAATTTTAATTCAACGAGGATATAACGTAATGGGTATTTAATTACATTACGTGGTTGGAAATCGAGATTATGTCATGTTTTCATGTTACGTAAGATTGTTAGAGGATACCGAGTTTTCGATCCTCGTGTCTTGAGAGATCTTCCGGTGATATACAAGAACATTTCTTAGATATATATCTAACTAATTTTTCTGAATTTTTTTTTTTATGCAGAATTTTATAATATTTGATTATTTTATACATAGAAGAAGAATAAAAAAATTATAAAGTAATTTGTTAATAATTGAATAATGATCACAATTACTTTATCTTCTTTTTTTTATTCTGTTAATATTTTTCGTATATTCGATCATAAAATTTATATTTTAGAGAAAAAGAAAAGATTTGAATAGTTAATTTTTAGAAAAGATGGATATATCAATGTTTAAATCAATAATGATGCAGTAATTAATTCTCGTGAAACTTCTTTTTAAAATATTATAATTTCACGAATTAAGTGTAGAGAAGTACTAGAAGACGAATGGAAAGAAACCAATCTACATCTGCCATTCCATCAATTATTGATCACTGTTGTAATAACTCGATTGCGATCAAAGAGAAACTCGTCACATTGGTTTACGATACAGTATCGTCGTCATCATCGTTATCGCTTGCGGTGTTCCAATAACCGCGAAATTCCTACACGTTGACACACCATCGTCATACTAAATGCAAATTCGTAACACGTTTCATTTTACTGCTACTCTATCCAAGGTATGATACAGAAATTGAATTTGGAAGGTGGAGATTGTAATACTAAAAGAAACGTCGGCAATATTTAAAAATAATAAAATAAAAAAATAATCTTTACATTTATAATATCAAAATTAAGAGAAAATAAAGTTTTGGTTATAAAGAATGCAAAGCATTCTAAATTTCTCTTAATCTCTTAATCTCTTAATCTCCTAAAAATTTAATTACCCATTTCATATTTCAATAGCTTTTCTTTCATATATATATAAATTCTAAAAATTTTCCAATCTTTCTATTGCAATTCATTTGTTGAAAGTTCTTAAGAGATCACTCTTGCATTTAATTAAAACAATTATCTATTTTTAACTTTATTATTACATTACATCCTCATATCCCAAAAGAATATCAGGATAATCCTCTCGTTGCCTAATTTCTTTTCAATTTTCATTCTAAATAAACGTGAAGAATATCGCAAATTACTTGAAAATTAGAAAAAGGAAATTATAACATAAAGAAAATTGAGCTTATGTAGATCACCTCCATCGCGCGTATTCCTCAAGTCTGAAGTGGCATCTGTTCGGAAAAAGCCACGACACCCGGTTTAATCTTCCTGTTACGTGTAACATCTGGCCTCGTGTAGTTTCGTCAGGAAAATGTCGCGATAAATCATGTTCACCTATACAGAGACTAAGACTCCAAGTATCTCGTTGGATAAACCGGATGAAACGGGCAACGGTTTCACTTCCGCGAGAGAGGAGCAACAGGTTTCGACGACAGGGCGATACGATTTCGATTATTTTCTCTCGTTTTTCTTCGAGAAAAAAATTTATTCGATTGGAGAAGCGTACGTTACTGATCGGTAGTAGGTTTGTTTATCTTGAAAAAAGGAAATCATGGCTCGATGGACAAGTTTAACGAAAATTGGCGAGAAAAATTGGGCGGATGAGAATTTGTGATCGATTTATTGGCACAGGTAATAAAGAGTTGTTAAATTTTTATTTGTTAAGGATTCATATTGAAGCAATATTATATTAGAAATTTTTATAATATTTTCTTCTTTTTTGGTTATTTTAATTTTAAAGATTTGTTTCATTTTTTTAAATTTCGTGAACAGCAGGAAGTAACATTTGGAGAGTATTCATAATGTTATGAAAATTGGAATGTTGGTGGAAATATATTGCAGTAGATGGCGATTATATGGAAAAATAAATATATAAAAATAAGTAAAGAAAATATTTCTTTCCACCACTGAGTCATAAAAATATATCTTTCCATTCATTCTTTACTTTAAGTGGAGATAAAATTTTTCAATCTATCCTCGTAGTATAAAATTTTTGCTTTCGTAAAATATGTAATGTGATAATAATAATAATATGAAATATCTATTATTCTTTCGTGCATTATTTTACCATTCAAATAAAGGAAATTCGGAGACCAATGGAAAATCGAGAATTGTAACTTCGTTACAAAGGTCGATAGAATTTAAATGAGAAATGGAGATTAAAATTAACTAATTTGATCAAGATCAAGATTTTATAGAGAAATGGTGAGAATTTGTAATGAAATAGAAAAGCATGTGAATTAGAGATATTCTGGATCGAAGTTGATTGAGATTGTCGATGGAAAAATAAGTTGGAACGGAACAGTGCACATTTGCATACACGAATACGTGATTAAATTAATAAATATAAAGTGTACGATGTAAAAAATTCATAGCAAATACTGGTTTAAAACCTGAAGAACTTGCATCGACGTAAAAGTATTTATCTTGTACTCGGAATAATTAGGAAGAAGCTTCCTTGAAAGATTTATTTATTTATTTTTTTTTTTTTCATGTAAATTTATAACTATGACACTTCATATTTTTCAACAGATCTTACGCTCTAAACTGGTTGCAAATCAAACACTAGACTGCAATGAAACTTTGACGAGAAGTACCATTTACGTGCTTACCTGCATATAAAACGCTTCTCCCCTCGTGACAATGAAGCTGCTAGCTCTGTCATCGGTCTGTAAAGCGAACAGACTCGCTGCTACGATTGCCAACGAAGCTGGAAACAATAAAAATCCAATACTTTACATTTTTTTTTTCACAACGATAAGATATCTCTTAACTTGATTAAATCAAAAGAAAAAAGATATTTTCTTTTCCATTTCTTAATTGAAAAAAATATTGATGAAACAAACGATTAAATGATAGTAAGTGTGTGTGTGTGTGTTTTTTTTTTCAATTTTACGTAATTTATAATGCTTTTCTCGAGAGAGTAACGCTAAGAAATTCATTCATTGAATGCGGTCGACTGCACGATCTATGAGTTTAGCGCGTATCACTTTACGGCAACAAGATCCACCGCGGATATTCGATTCTTCGTCTAAGGGTAAGTAGGCCAGTAAGTAGACAAGTGACTAGTAATCCTACCGTGGTTGGCCTGTTGCAAAACTTTCCGACTGTGTCCTCATGCAAAACGACTTCTCCGCCTGAATTACGCTCAACAATTCTCACGTGATTCCTAGCTTTACGAGCTAACATTAACGTAATTTTGTTAAAGTTTCTGAGCGTGAATTAATATTATACCGTTAATAAAAATGGACGAAATAAAATAATTTATTTGTATCAAATAAAATGATACATATATATATATATATAGAACGATGTTGATAATATATTTCTATAATTTAATTTAATCCTCGAATTGTATATTTTTATTCAATTTTCTTCAACATTGTTATTTAAAATTATTTTTATATATATATATATTTGTCAATTCGAGAGTAATTTAAAGAATCAAAAATCATTCGATGTTTTCAAATACTATTCAATATTTTCGATGTTACTACAATTTACTTTTGTTCCATTTGGATTACCTTTTTCCCGTTTATTCATATCCAATATATATATTATAAATGGATAATATTCATTTGCTTTGTTTGTTTTCAAACAATCCTCTTTCGAAGACCAGTAGTTTCCAATTATCAATTATTTTATTGAAAGCCGACTAAACGAGTTTTCTACAATAACGTGCACGTATATATAAAATAATTTTATGTACAACAATCCGATTATCACATATTTAATGATAGACGATTAATTAAAGAAAATTTCAAGTTAATCACGATTATATATCGTACGAATATAAATTAATTCTATGCCACTTTAACGAAAATCAAATTTTATTCATGGATTGTGAATCATCTCCATTTTATCCAATTAAAAATTCACGAAATTGAACTTTGTATTAAATTCAAGATTAAAATAATTTAAAATATTTGATAACGGATGATAAATTTAAAGGCTTAAAGAATTAAGATAGAATTAATTTATATCCTCAATTTTATGTAAATTTAAGATTGAATAATTCAAAGGTGCTAAAATGTAAAACAAATAGGGGGAAAATTTAGATCTATCTAAATATCAAAGAGATAAATCTAAATGTAAAATCTGCATTCCCATTTCTAATGCAACCTAACATTACTCGACAATAATTTTAAAAAATTCAAACTTCAACCAAAAAGGATTAAAGATACAGGACGTTAATATATTCCTAAGAATATCTTTGGATAATTTATTCCAAAGATCAAACCAAACGCAAAGTTTGTTCAACATCAACTTAACTTAATGAACGATCTTCAACCAATATATCTTTATTTATATTTCACCTTTTGAAATCTAAGGATTTGTCTTTAAAGATATACCACGAATATATCAACATCCTATTGATCTATAATCCTTCTAATATAAAAGATAGATAATATTTTATTCAGATATTTATTAAAGGGCTCGCATTAATTTGGAAGCTTGGATAAATACTCACTGGCCAAAGTGGCGAGTGCCACTTTCCCTATCAAAGCGGTGCTGTACGAGATAATAACTCGCTTTGCCGAGGAGGCCATCGCAAGTTGTAGCACGGCAAGACCCACCAGGATGGCCAAAAGGGCGGAGGCGGTCGCAGCAGCTAATCCTGCCACCCACACAGCCACTAAAAGAGAAGGAAACCTTTCACGTTTGCCTCGTCATATTAACGCGATCGATTCTTGCTTTGATAAAAAATTCTTACTGTGATAAAGGTTATTTCTTCAAGTATCTAATGCTCTTTCTTTTTTTTCTTTTTGTGCATAATATTACAACGGTATTTTTGAAATTAAGTGGAATTGTAAAAAAAAAGAATTGCGTATTAATTCGTGAATCGTCTTCTGTGATCTGTTGAAAGAGGATTTTTTATAATAAAATAAAGAATAAGATAAAGAAGTAAGAATGTCGAGGTATTTACTTGTTTTAACGAGATATAATGTTTCAATGTTTCTTCCAAAAAATGGTAATCACGATAATTAGCAAGTTGCTATTAATCTTTGAAAATTTTGCTTTAAATAATTTTTTTTTTTAACGAAGCTTTTAAGAAACGAGGAAAGAGAATTTTAATTGTAAAACGTTATACATGCATTAATTATTTTTGAAGGAATTTTAATCACGAACGTACGTGACGAAAATTTAAAATGAACTCACACACTGGTTGAAACCTGGAAACCCCTTGGCCGCATCTTTCTCTACCGTATAGTAGCAGTTTGCACTGCCTCCATGGACCAAAGTACCCCTTCTCGGCTGCTGAACCAGCTGAAATAAAAGATATAATCAAGTTAGAATTTTAATATCAAATAATTGCCTGTAACGTGATCTCGATGTAAGTATATTAATGTAATTTTATTACACACATAATTATCGAAACACAATTTACAATAAAAAAATTACTGCGTTATTATATTAAATTAACGAAAAAAAACTTTCATCTAAAAAAAAAAAAAAATCTAAATTCCAATCAACGACTATCCCACGCACGCATCTTTTATATAATGTATACCAACACCCACGCCTTCTCTTTTCTATCGTATAACTTTTTTCTTGCAAACCAGGCAAAATGTCTAGAATAACATCTTGGGTGACCGTATTATATCTTCTTTTCAACCCTTAATCTCTGATGACCTCAGTACTCTTTCGCGCATCCCTGATCCTTCGAATTTATTTTATCGTGTACAAAACATACATGCAAAGATATTTATACAAAATTTTACACACAAAGAATCGGAGATAGAATTTACAATTTACACAATCAAATTATTTTACACGAAATTATTTTTAACGAAAAGGAACGAAACAATTTAGATTCTAACTCTAAGAAAAATAATTATAATTTTAATTTTCCATCAACGAGAATTCACACGTTATTCGTATATCCATTTAAAAGAAATATCTGAAATTATTAATAAAAGAAACTTGAATTCTCTCGGTGTAAATTATCATATCACAAAGAGGAACATTTACAACTCGTCGCATTGCACATTAATCGAACAATATCCTCTTTGATCAAAATAAAAAAATCACTCAAGCATCGCAAAGATTTTCTCTTTAAATCGTAGGGGGCGCAAAATATCTGGACGATCATAAATCATCTTTCAAAATCTCCAGTATTACACTTGACAAATTTTTCGCTCTAATAATAAATCTTTTTATCGTATTAAACAGCCTATATCAGCACGCGACCACGAGGTGGGAAAAAAAAGGAAATATCGCAATATTTGTTGGTGGGCGAATTTCGAAACGTTGTACGATATTTCACGCGACGAGACGTGGCTCTCGTCGGTATTATTACTTGGTTGCAAACGGGTGAACGGGTGTCGGAATTTTAAAAATTGTACGGGACAAAAGGCAGAGATTGAACGAGGAAAATAAATGGATAATTCATTGGTCCATCCCTCTGCTGAATATTTTATAAAGATTTTTTTTATGAGTACGAATGAACGGTTGTACGATATCTTATAAATATTAGTAAGAATAAATTTATAAAATAATTCAATCATCGAATTGGCTTTGGTATTAAGGAACGAAAATTGGTACGAGCATTTGCTCGAAATAACAATTTCTAAAATGATGAATATACGAGTATTATATAGCATTAAATAGAAAATGTGTCTAACAATAGGAAATCCGCTTTCCCTTAATTTTATATTATTCTATTCATGCGTCGTATATTATTGAAGTCGCTGACTCTGTTAATAGACAATCGCCTGAAGATCACTAATAATTCTCTGTCTCAGTTTCTCAAGACACAATAACATCAATCTTGAGAAGAAAAGATAGGAAACTTTCTCTTCATCCAGAAATCTTATAAATATTTTAAACAAATCGTATCGTATAACAAAAGTAGTACACAATCACATCTAGGACCGATTACAAAGTAATTAAATTTAATTTATTAATTTTCCAATGATTAAATTTAACAGATAAATCTTAATTTCAGCGAATTAAGAAAATTAATAATAATAATAATAATAATAACATATAAAACATATATTTTTACATTTATTTTTCTCTATATTTTTATAAAAGCACGTAGAGATTCTAACAAGGATCATGCACTCCAAACGAGGAGTACAATATTCAATTTATCCATTCTTTCGCGAAATATCGAAATCAAAAAAGAAAAAAAAAACAAAAAAACAAAAAAAAGTCTCATAAAAATCGATTGTCGCTATCATCCAATTTTTTATCACAAGGAAAGAAAAAATAAAAATATCGCGAGAATACCTCTGAAGCATCATAATTTCCGATTGGAATTTAGAAGAAAAAAAAATCAATCACAAAATTCTAGATCGATAAATTAAAAAAAAAAAAAAAAAACGAAAAGAAAAGAAGAGGAAAAATTAGATCGATGGTTGAATTCGTGCAAACGTTTGGAAAGATTCGATACGGTGACGCGGCCTAAATTCCTTTCGAAAATCGCGAACTCGTCAAGGAGCGCGAACAGAAATGCAATTTGTCACGGCATTGTGGATCACAGCGAGCGTGTTCGCGTACAACGCGTGAAAAATCGAGTAACTGGGGCAAGAAACGTTGAACACGCGCCGGTTTGTCATTCGCATTAATGTTCTTTCCGCATCAATGTTCTCGAGAAGTTGACCATTCAATCGATCGGTCACCGTCTTAAAACAATTTTTCGATTGATTAATTAATAATCATTTCGGTTGATTAATGATAATTTCTTCCGCGTTTTGAGAGAAAATATTTTTTTATATCTCTGAAAACATTTATAGAATATGTATAGAATTTTTAAATAAAATTCTCGATTTATATTACTATATATAAATAGTTTAATTTATATAAAAATAATTGGGTTAACATATTGTTTTATATTGTTATAATATATGAAACAAATTTGTATTTTATTAAACACGAATAGCGAATAACGAGGTGTAATGATACATTATTAAATAATAACACTTGAGAAAAACAAGAAAAGCAAGAAATTCAAGGGCAACGATTGGCAATTTATGTTGTAAGAAAATTAGTTACCATTGTAATTACACCGATTTACGATTATTGTTGCACAGTTTATTCGAACAATAAGAAAATACATACACATTATAACCAATTATGATGTATCGACATTCGTGTTTATATAACTGATATTACCTATATCGATTTAAAAAATTATTCAAGCATAAAATAATCCAAGGTGCCATTAAAATATTTATTCATCACGTTTGATAATTTCATGAATAACATCATCTGTTAAATTATACATATATAAAAATAAATTTAATTCGAATTTTATTCGATTATAGAAATTATTTATTATAAAAAGTTTATTTGCGTTTTATTACAATGTATAATTATTCGGTAGCGGATTTTAAGGTTTAGTACTAGCATTAACTAATTTCCAATTTTAAGCTTCGAGTGAATTATACGGCTTGAATTATACAGGCTTTCGGGCTCAGCTCGCTGTCTATTAGAAATTTTATCCCAACGTTTACAACCAACATTGTAACTAGGCTTTATTAGAGATGTCACTCAGGTGTATCATTATCTATGCGTCATTTGATCTTTGATGCAACAAACGATATCAATTAAGATAAAATTCCAAAACGAATACTGCTTACAACCGGAACATTTCAAACAGTGTCCCATACGATAAATTTTCGATAACCCTTGAATCATTCGATTATTTATGAGTCAGATGATATATCAGACGATGAAGAATCAACATAAGCGACAACTATTGTCAGTTTATCGATCTTTGCAAATTGAAAGCCGACAATACGCTATTTACTTTCTTGGGAAGATTAAAATGATATTGGATTCAACGATCGTGTTAAGTTTCAAGAAATAAAGAATCGTTTAAAAAATTAAAAGTTATCGATTTATCGTACTTCGAAAGGAAAGTTTCTCGTGAATTAAACGTTACGATTATCCCAATTCGATAGAAACTATATAGAATCCCAGGGGTAACAAGTCGATCACGAGTTGTACGAGTAGGAAGTTGTCATTTGCTACGTATACAGTCTCCAGAGATCGAGGTTGTCGTTGATATCGAATTAGAAGAATTCGTATCCGCTGACTATTAAATATGAAATACATGCAAATCATCAATTATTCTGATAAGATCCCAATAAGATTTGTTAGTATTTAGAGAGATTAATTAACACGTAATATAATCTCGATATTATAAAATCTTCTTTTTGAACAACGATTTCTAATTTATTTAGAAATATTAATCTGCTAGCTTTTATGAACGTGTGTAACACTGAAATTTTTTTAAATAATTTATACACAGCTTTCTTAAATTTTATCATTCGTTCGAATCTAAAATGTAACACCTCGTTTATTCCAAAGAATCTCCATTGAAATCAACTGATGCGGCTAATTACCTCTCTCTCCTAATCCAGAACTCGTGGATCAAACGAGTAACGAATCAACTTGAGTAAATATCAATTAAAAACTCTCGAGCTCGGTTGATATCCTGTGACTGGCACACATATACATATAAATATAAATATGTATCATTACATCTTACAAATCGCGAAAATAAATCCTTCTATTTTTCAAACACGTTCAATTCAATTAATTAATTAACATATAATGTAAACTATTAATTATTAAAATATTACCTCCATTCCATATTTCTATCTGCGTGTCTTTTCAATATATATTACTTAGAATAAAATTTTTAACGAGTTATAAATATATTTTCTCAATTGTATCTCTCATAAAAATGTATTCGTGAAATCAATGCCACCGTTGAATTCGTTTCAATTCCCACATCCGTACGTGGAACAAAAACCGTGAGTCGATTAATTGTAACGCTATTGTCGAGCCTCGTTTCCGAACCGACATACTTGTAAACTCGCCGATTTCACCTGTGTTATGTTGTAAAAATTCATACGATTCTTTCTATATATGTATCGTGATACTTATAAGATATATTGTTCGACCATTAAATCATCTCGAAAATGAAAAAATTGCTTCTTATAGCTATGACAATTTTATAACAATTTTTTTTTATCTATTATATTATTTAAAGAAAAAGTGGAATAATTACGAATTTACGTAACATTGTTTTTTTAATAAATGTTTGAACATGTGCTGAACATATTTCCATCTGTTTGATTTTGTATTTCATTTAGTATATAGAAAGATATCGAAAGATATGAAATTTAATATAATCTAAAATAATGAATATTTTTCTGACCATCGCATCAAATTTCAAGAAAATAAATATTTTATTTCTGTTACCGAGAAACGTGATATAATACCATTAATCATAATTTTCAATTAATAAT